TTCAAGTTCTTACACTGCCGTGCCTACTTGTTGCTCAAAGATTTCAGTTAGGTTACAATTGAATGTTTCCCATTCTTTTTTGGTGACCATTTTGGGACATTTCACACCAGGTTTGCGGCCTTCAATCTTTTTCTCCTTGGAGGTTTTTGTGGTTGTGTGGGCTCCTAAACCAGCATTTCTGTGCTTGTAGCTCTCTCTAGTAACAGGGGTGCTGATGCTCTGCGAACTTCGGTTTGGGTCCCGTCGGTGTGCTTCACGCAACCAATATGACCGGTTGCCTCGTAAGAAATACTGGTCAATGTGAGGCCCTTGTCTCTGTTCTCTCAAGCTCCTTTTTCTCCCTTGGTGGATCCTCAAGCCCTTCTCTGATGTTATTTTCTCCCAACCACAAATGCACACCTGGAGCATGCTTTTTGCTGCCATCGTGAATGTCTCATGTGATGTGCTCTCCTTGTCCATAGATGCTTCCATACCTGTGTCTGTGACCATGTTATCAATCAGTGAGTCATCTTGCTCTCGCAGGCTCTAGGGGGAATTTTCTTTCGTTGACTTTTTGTAGCATTTAGTGGGTGTCTCCAACTAACTGAACTAACGTTGAACAAACATATTAAAAAATGACTGTATACAGTAGCCTATATTTAATAGTTTGTGAAGATAGTAAATCAGAAAATGTAAAAAAAATTTTTGTTAAATAGTTTTATCTATCTAAATATCATCTCCTTTGCTAAGGGCTGTCCGGTCCCTGTACGACCGAAGCAGGAGCTTGGTTCGCATTGCCGGCAGTAAGTCAGACTTCTTCCCGGTGCATGTTGGACTCTGGCAGGGCTGCCCTTTGTCGCCGGTTCTGTTCATAATTTTTATGGACAGAATTTCTAGGCACAGCCAGGGTGTCAGGTTTGGGGACCACACGATTTCGTCTCTGCTCTTTGCGGATGATGTTGTCGTGTTGGCCCCTTCAGACCAGGACCTTCAGCATGCACTGGGACGGTTTGCAGCCGAGTGTGAAGCGGCTGGGATGAGAATCAGCACCTCCAAATCCGATGCTATGGTCCTCAGTCGGAAAAGGGTGGCTTGCCCACTTCAGGTTGGTGGAGAGTTCCTGCCTCAAGGGGAGGAGTTTAAGTATCTTGAGGTTTTGTTCACGAGTGAGGGAAGGATGGAACGGGAGAGCTTCTGCAGTAATGCGGTCAATGTACCGGTCTGTCGTGGTGAAGAAGGAGCTGAGCTGCAAGGCGAAGCTCTCAATTTACCGGTCAAACTATGTTCCTACTCTCACCTATGGTCATGAGCTTTGGGTCATGACCGAAAGGACAAGATCCCGGATACAGGCGGCCGAAATGAGCTTTCTCCGCAGGGTGGCTGGGCGATCCCTTAGAGATAGGGTGAGAAGCTCGGTCACTCGGGAGGAGCTCAGTGTAGAGCCGCTGCTCCTCCACATCGAGAGGGGTCAGCTGAGGTGGCTCGGGCATCTGTTCCGGATGCCTCCAAGACGCCTTGAGGAAGAGACCCCAGAGGAGACCCCGGGAAAGACCTAGGACACGCTGGAGGGACTATGTCTCCCGGCTGGCCTGAGAACGCCTCGGTGTCCCCCCGGAAGAGCTGGAGGAAGTGTCTAGGGAGAGGGAAGTCTGGGCATCTCTGCTTAGACTGCTGCCCCCGCGACCTGGCCCCGGATAAGCGGAAAAACATAGATGGATGGATGGAGTTTTATCTATCATATGTTGATGTTCTGATATTTATTTTATGTTTGTAATGGGTTTTTGTAAAGTCATAATTTTGCATTGTGGTTTGTTATTTGCAAATGATACGATTTACTAGTATTTACTAGTTTTGTGTGTGTGTGAATTGTATTAAAGGGTCAGTAAACCATAATTGTTATTATATTGTGTGTTTAAATTCATGGACAATAGTAAGTGAAATTCAAGGATATTTTGACTACTGACTGAACTAAGAAAATATCCATTTTCCTTTAACCCTTAAACAGGCAAGAGTGGAAAATGCTAAGCAAAAAATAAGTTCATGTCATTTTTTATATCACCTGGACTTAAAACATATCCAAAAGATTTTTTTTTTAATTTTTATATATTTTAGATTTTATGAGTTGTCTCCTGAGTCACGTTGCCTGATTAGGGTATAAAAAGGACCAAGTCATTAATCTGTTAACTGTTATTGCCACTGCATGTTTAAAACAAATATATCCCTTACTTCACCTGATCTAATGTTAACAAATGATAAATCTTTCGAAAGCTTATGAAGTCAGCCTGTGAAACCCGTTTTGAAATTGGACGTTGCCATAGAAACGGTACTATTATTCTTTTATCGGGCTCCTCCCCTTTTGGGCATCGTCAGGTTTAATAATTTATGATCAAAACCTTTTCTAGTCTTGACAAAACGATTTGATTTACTAGTATTTTTTTTTCAGTTTTTTTTTGTGTGTGTGAATTGTATTAAAGGGTCAGTAAACCATAATAGGCTCTATGCACGAACGCTGCTGACGTATTTTCGGTAGAATCTCAGCCAGTGTCTTTACCTCCGCATAGCGCGTTCTATAGCGAAGTATACTAGCGGCCAAACTTTAATAAAATTCATTTTCTCAGAAATGAGACAACAATTTTAGAAACTGATTCGCTAGTCGGATTACTCACCCTCAAAGTTGTCGATGTAGCTCGAAATATATAATTTAATGCCCTTCTCTTTCTTACTCTTATGTGTGAGAGCTAACTGCCTCACAATATTGTTAACATCTTTCACGTTAACCGTTGGAAGTTCTTCTAAACAGCGAGTGTAATTTGCCATTATCTCCACCTAATGCAAAAACGGCTTGCGACGCAGCACCGGATGGAACTGGGCGGGCTGAGACAAAACACGGAAGCGATCGTGCATAGAGCCTATTGCTATTATTGTCTCGTGTTTAAATTCATGGACAATAGTAAGTGAAATTCAAGGATATTTTGACCACTGACTGAACTAAGAAAATGTCCATTTTCCTTTAAGCTGCAGTCCGTAACTTTTTTGGGTTAAAAATTATCCAAAATAAATTTTAACCAGTACATAACCAGCCAGTGTTCAAAACTATCTGCTTGCCTTAGCTCGATTCAAACCGGTAAGCTAGTAATAATGTTTTTAATTCCAGTAGTACTGGTGGATTTCCGCGGGAAATTCGAACATGTCTTCGCGTCATTACGTCACATCTGTACACATAAAGGAGGAGTCTCGGCTAGTAGGCTATATTGCGTGTGAGGATGTTGGAGGAGGAGATTTATAGCCTTTTCTCACAGCACTTGATATAATTAAACTTATCAATTTGATGGCGGTTCAAACGACAATCACCAGTGACAACTAGAGATTCACCCATTGTAAAATGCAAAAGACTTCGGACTGGCTACAGGAAAAAAGAGACTGCAACCAATCCCATGCGGGAATAAATAAAAAACAAGGATAAATATCAGAAGGGCATTAAATGTAGTCACGCAATGCTAATGTTGAACTAACAATTTGAGAACAAAGTATAATTTGCACGGTATGATATGATAAGCGATCGTTAGATTTAATTAGCGCGATTTACTGCAATGCTTTTTTCCTGCTTAGTTGGTCAGAATTTCGATTTCGAACAGAGATGGCGACTAAGAGGAAAAACTACAGACTGCAGCTTTAAGATTTGAATATAATACATATTTACATTGTTCCCAAAACTTTTTTCGACACTTAAGCCACAATTTAACATCTGTATCTGCATTATATGGCATCAAAACGAGGTATTTGTGGAAACATAGCACAAGCATACTTTTCAGTCAAAACATTTACGTTTCTTAGATTTTGACGTATGAAGCATAATAGATATATTGATATTTTATAGACATAGATACAATAGATATATTGTTCAAAATTAAGACAAACTCACTTTCTGCTTGTCAAAATTGGAACATGTTTATGGGATGGAACTACGCCGGTGGTTATTCTGCTAGTAAACCTGTGTAAACTTGATGGCCACAAAAAATTTATAATTAAAAAGGGGGCTCAAAAAAGCTACTTTAGTTCTGAGAAAACCTCAATTATCATTTGTTTGCAGATGCCACATGGTTTGGTATTTTCCATCTAATGCAAAGAATTGTGACTTAATTGTCCAAAAACTATTTGAGAGCACATTTAACATCTTAGAAAAATTTACTTTAGAACCTTGTAGGTTATTACATCTGCTCCTTGGTTTAACAGTGTTCATATTGTAAAAAAAAAAAAAAAAAAACACATCTGAAAGACTGACACTGACCTTTTAATTTAATATTTACAGGAATAACATTTTTGTAGTTCCTCTAAAGTTCAGCACACTTTTTAGCCCCTGTCAAATATTGACAAAGTCACCCTGAAAATGTTACAAAAAAAGAAAGAAAAAAACCCTATCTCCTCCTTGACTGAACATATTCTTCAACCATGACAAAATATCAATATCTGTGCTCCATACTAGAATACGGTAAATAAAAACGTCTGAGGAAAAGGGCAGACTTTTGAAATTATAGTTACAATTCCTTGACAAAGAGACTGCAAACTATTTGCTGTGCCTCTTCCAGGGGAGTCTGTGACAACATGACTGTTCTTAACACTCCATGACCAGTGGGAGGAGTGATCACCAATGCATTTATGAGTGCACAATGATGACCAGAAATTACCATGACTGGGTTTAAAGGCCACATGTGATGATGTAATCAGAACCCACATCATTTCATACTACATTTCAAGCCTTTGGTAATATGGTATGAAAGAATACAAGGACAACTCATCAACAGGCAGTTTACACTCCAGGCAGTTCCTAAAGAATACTTCAGTGTTCAATTTAGAACTGTAGTTTGTCATTGATGAGGGAATCATGACTGTCATATTGCTGAGGCTCTTATCCACTGAGACGTGTGTAGATGACACAAGATGTCATAGGGAAGGGTGGCGGTGCTCGTCTTGATCTGGTTGTAGTTTTACAGCTGTTGTAGTCAAGTAAGATTGAACTTAAATAAAATAGACTGGACCCAGGCCAGCATTTATCCATAATGCACTACTCAAACAGAGGTAAAACAATATAGAATCAAGATTCATTATGTGTTATTTAAAATGTTACTTTGTGCAACGACAAACATCTGGCAAGTTCAAGTAAACTGTAAGGTGGCATACTGGAGAAATATAAGGATCACCTAAAAACAGAATAATGTCTGGTTGAAAGAAAAGCAAGGAGGAATTAAGCAAAAAAACAACAAAATGCTCATTAAGACATGAGCAGTAAATTGGTTTTCATTCACTCACTCACTCACACAAAAGAGATTCACTAAAAAAAAAAAAAATAAACAAGCAAGCCATCCGCAGTCTTTGCGTAGTCTCTCTCTGTTCCACTTCTTCGGTGTTGTTGTGTGGTGACTATGTACAAAATGAAACCAAGAGTTCCATCAGAATCCAGAATCGGGCTTGATAAAGAGGGCGGAGAACGCGAAGGCGAGAAAAACGATCCCACCAATGATTGTAACTGTAGACATAACAAAAGGAAATATCAGCAAATAAATCTGGATATAGATCATTGCTCATGTAAACCTACAGAACATTAAGTACTGTAGTAAATGACTCAATCTCACCGGTTCTGACAGAGATCTTCTGAGCCACCATCCTTCCACCGATAACAGCCAGTCCTGTGCACAGACAGTGTCCCAATGTTCCCCCAACTGCTACTCCAAATGGATTCTGGAGCACAAAACCAGCCAGTTATTCACAGGTGACATCTCTAAAGCTAATAATGAGCAATACAAAGTGCTGGATTATTAGTAATCCTACAGGACTTTACTGAGCTATTAAAGGAGATGAGATTTATGAGATTGGTAAATTGTAATATATATTATTATAAAACGGTTAGTTCCAATCCTTGATTCTGATTGGTCAATAGCTGTGCTTTATTCACGATAAAACACGGCTATGACCGCTTCACCCAACGGTTCTATGTATCACTACACAACACCCCTAGCAACCACTCTTAGCAACTTAAACAGATGTTTCATCTCATTGATATTGTTCATTTAAAGCTAGAGCAGAGCATTGTGAGAGATCGAGTAAGCGAGTGTACCTGCATTTACAGTAGACGTAGCATTTTCCTTCAGGTCAGTCCTATATTCATAATAAAAAAATGCGTTTGAATGTCCGCTGCATATTTTGTCCTTTTAACAGTCATGGGGTTTTCCGTGCATAACGTTAGTCATCTGTCAGTTGCGTCTGTCTTCTCCGTGATCACAAGTTCGAGTCCTTTCAAAAGCCTTCTCTACAGACTCACTCACTCACTCACTCATAAAGACAGTCTTTGCCGCCATCTATTGGCGAAATAATATATGTAACTTCTGTTGCTGTTCACGTTCCGGGACTATTTTTTCCAGCGGAAGGCAGGCTTTTAGTGATTTTACTTCATGAAAGTTGCATAGATACATATTTTTCGGCTTTAATATTTTTATTGTGTGGCAACCGTTTTATAAAAGCAATAAGGTACTCGAGGCAAGTGCTGTATCGTGAATAAGTAACGGCTGGAGGGCGTTGTTAGGCACGACGCGAAGCGGTATGTGTATGTTACAATATATATCGTATATATATTGTGTACATGTTTTAATATTTAGACCAGTTCTATTATTGATTGCTATCAGGATGTGAAGAAAGTTTCAACCAGTATAACAAAAAGTGTTCATGCAATATATTTTTAATTCATGCACAATACATTTTCATGGGCTTTAAGTATTTAGAATAGAGATCTAATTTTGGACTCTGTACAATACCTCTCTTGCAGCCAGAACAATGGTTGCAAGCTGAGAGCGGTCACCCCATTCGGCGAGGAAGGTGAGGGTGAGTGCCTGAACGAATATGGGTGAGATTACACTGTGCCACTTCCTCTGAGGCAACAAGGTCGCCGTCGACCCCGCTTCCACGTCGGGTGTGCCGTTTGCCAGCTTATAGCGCTGAAGCTGAGGGAGGAGAGGTCAATCAGTCAATCAGAGTTCAGATAAGATTCTTCAAATATTCAGGTGGTGTGTTATATATAGCCATACCTGCGGACAAATACACTTCAGTTACAAAGCTGTTACCTCCTCATCTTTTTTCTTTATCTCAGCCTGGACCTCCTCCAGCTCCTCTTGCCCTTCATCAGCACTCATCCTCAGTCCCTCCCTCAGCATCCTCAACCCAAAGATGGCAAACAGCGCTGTTGAAATGTAGTAGGTGTAGATCCGTGGGATAATGGTGGTGGCATAACCAAACAGGACTAATGGGAAGACAAACAGAAAAATAGGACATTCATGCATTGAGAGGATTTTATAAAAGACACACGGTAGATCAACACTCTTTTAATGCATTAGACATTAAGCATATAAAAAAGCAGAGGCCTATGTGCTGAATTATGCGCTATTCTCTGTAAAACCTTTAAGATATAATATTTAATTATATAAGACACTGATAAAGCTGGCTAGACAAAAAGTCTGTCATTAGAAATCTGTTAGATCAGTATGGCATGATGATATTGTTTTGGATGGATGAATATCATTATGAATGATATCCTGTAAATAATATCTCACAAGACTTTTACTGACACTACTGCACTGCTAAGCTATATGAGAAAGATATGAAAGACAAGAAGAATAGGAATTAAAGAAGCACCGATTCAAAACTTTCCGCCGATTCGATAGCCGATTATTCAGAATGATCTACCAATAACGATAGTTTGATTTTCTTGAGGAAAATAAATCTCCCAATAAATGCTGTAAACTATACAGGGAACCCTCTCATTTGGTACATTACTAATATAATATTAGAGGTTAAAATGAACATCAGAGCCAAAACTATTACATTCAACTGCTATTTATTTTCAAATATAATACATTCAAATAATTAATTGTATACACCTCAGTTGCACATAAGGTAGTTTTCATAAACACTTGTCTTCATGACAAATTTATTCAATCATACATATATCATATCAGTAAATAAGCTCCTCTCTAGTGTTTTTTTTTTTTAAAGCTAAAGAACTGTGAACATTGGATAACTTTCTTGAGGAAAATGCAACATTCAGTGACATTGTTCTCAAGCTGTTTTATTGATGTCTTTCCGTGGTTGAAACACTGATTGAGCGACTACATGATACATGCTACATTTCGGTAAGTTGTACTCAACTGTATCTTTCAACGTTCCTTCTGATGTGCATTCGTTTATTATCCGTCAAGTCACATTTAAGAGCGTCAAAACACCATTTATTTTTTTTACTTTAGTGATAAAACTTACAGAATTTGAAAGTTGAGACTTTTTTTATCAGAAGTAACAAAGCTGTTTGCGGTGTAGGGAAAAACCGTGGACCTGCCAACCCTGACTTGAACAACAGGTGATTCGTAGGGTCAAATAGAGCCTGCTTTAACGTTGCTATTATTTCAGGTAGACAGCTCTAAATTCAACACAAGACATTTTCTTCACACACAGTATGAGATGTAGCCTGATCAGTTTTCAGCCTCTTTTGATTGACAGGGTATAATCGGCCCTGATCATACGCTGTTTTTAAACAATCAGCCGATAGTGAAAACAATTGCTTAAAAGGCCAATACCGATTATTGGTCGATACATTGGTGCATCCCTAATAGGAATCCAGAATTTTTTTTAAAAAATGTGACAATAGAGCAAAGAAAAAAAAGAAAAAGAAAAAAAAACTCAAAGGCTCAAATAAAGCTAGAGTGAAATTGACAACATTTGGGACATCTAAATTGATTTTTTTTTTATTTTTATGTTCTATCCCTATTCCATACACATTAAAATTAAACAAAAAATTCAAATAAGAAATGATTGTGTCATATTGGGTAACATGATTGCAAAGTTTACTTAAATTAAGCTGTCACTCAGAGATTATCTAGTTTGGCTTTTTAGACCAAATGGAATTTTTCAATTACTGATATATTCAATAGATTATGTCACAATTATGATACTAATGTATCATTTAAATTGCTGGATACAATTGAGAAGGTCAAGGCCTCTTGAGGTGGGACAGGCCAAAAGTTAAGGAGGTGTGGGTATTTGACTGGTTAAAACTTGCTAAGTTAAATTTTATGTCAGATAACAGATTATTCAACATATGTAATACACAAAAACGTTTTTCCCCACTCTAAAGTCATGTGACACTAAAAGTCTTTCAACATTTGTAGATGATTTAAAAAAAAAGTCCTTTAGAACAACTGTATTTCACCTACCTGACAGACACGTCATGAGTCCCAAAGCCAACATGGCGCCCACCAAAACAGTGAGGCGATTGTAGCGCATAGCCATGATTGCTGCGATGAAGAATGTCTTGTCTCCCAGTTCAGACACGATGATGACTGAGATGGCTGCCACAAAGGCATGAATAAAGCCCAGGTTTCCCTTATTGGGTTCATTGATGCTCACTGCCGGGCCGGGAACGTGACCGGTGGTTGCCTTCTGCAGCAGGACAGAAATTATGATTCAAATGTTAGGTCAATTAATAGTAACAACTGTCTAAGCAACATCATTTCTACATAATATGGAGCAACAGAAAATCTAACAACATTTAGAGATACAATTAAGTATTTCAATATTAGAAAAAAAAAGCGAGAATAAGAGTATGAAAACTATGGGGGTACAAGATGGAACTGTTCAGGAGAGCAGTTCTAGAGATTTTGTAAACTAGTAGCATGAGTGCTTATTCTTCAAAACAGTGCCTGAAGAAAAATATTGTAGAGCTGAAAAATAACTTATTTTTTGTATGTGTGCTGCAAATGAAACTCATTTTGATACTCCTATCATTTAAATCGGTAGATCACAACCTTTTTGACTCCAAGGCCCCCCCTTCGTTCGAGACCATATAGGAAGACCATATTTTGTAGCTTACATGTACCTCAGTTTCTTGTTTTGTAATAAAACAAATAAAGAAAAAAAAATATTATGTCATGATATGAAAGCCTCCATGAAAGTTTGTCAAGACACCCCAGAGGGCCCCCGGGTCCCCTGGTGGAGAATCACTGATTTAGGCTATCCACTGACTTACACGACACCGTTTTCAACTAAAAACGTGAAACCTTTTATGCGTTTTGGCCGTTGGTTTACACAACAACGGCGTTTTGGGTGGCTGAAAACGGGAATCTCTGAAGACGATGGCGTCGTCATGCGCATGCGTATTACGTGTTCAGTCTATAGTGTTTCATCGCCATCTAATGGCCTGGCAGCAGAATACAGCATTTTTAGTCGTTTTTGCGGATCCGTGTGAATGGGCATCGTTTTGACAATGGTGTCGTCTGTATGCGGAAAACTCAAAGGAAAAACTTCTCCGTTTTAAGCATATCGTTGTCGTGCAAACGTAACCTTAAAGGCACTTGACGCACAATGTAATGACGGTAATTGACGCCTCTCGCGGTTAAAAAAAAACAGGACTGGGCAACTGCGTGCGTCAAGTTCAAGAGTTACCAGAGAATGTCTAATTGAAGAGAATTGGCAGTGTCTGGTTATTTCCGGTTTCTGGACTGGCTGCAGTAACACGTCTCTGTCCATGCGGGGGCGCTCGCAGGCAAGTGCAGAATGAATGGGAGTCTATGGGGTTTCACCCCCAGAAATCCACTTTTCTCAGGATGTAATTTTTGTCAAATATAATTTGAAAGTTGCATTCAAAAGGGAGGGCTAAGATACTACACTCAGCTGAAAATTGCATTTTTAAGTTCACTTATCTGTTCTAAAAATCCATTCAAAAATGTGATGACGTCACTTAATAGCAGAATGCTAGCGTGTTCCGGCCAACAACGGCCCAACCTGTAAGAAATCGAAAGGACATAAGTACTCGTTCATTCGACTTTTGGCCTATAATCTATATTGAACTTGCGGAATCAACAATAAAATCTATGTTGATTCAACAACAAGCAGGAGAAAGAGATACATTTAGCCGTTTAGCTCCATAGACTCCCATTCATTCTACACTCGCCCGCGATCACCTCCAGTGGAATTCTAATGGAACTGCAACCAATATGATACACAATGGGGCTAATAGGAAGTGCCAAGGCTCTCCGTTAGACGGACTCTGGAGTTACTCTTTTGGCGCAAGTCGACTTGCATACGGCGGTCTGCCGGAAGCTAGTTATTTTAGTCGATAAACTTTTAAATATGGATATTTTTCTTACACGAACACATCGCTTCACTTCAGTAGACCTTTATTAACCCAGACGTTCAAAAAACGTGTCGAGCACTTTAATCATGAATAGATGCGCTTTAATGTACTTCCAAAGTCAAACAGCCACTCACTCTCATTATCAAGCTTGGAAGTGCCAGGACATTTTTTAATATAGCCTAACTCCGATTATAATGTCATATACACCTAGGATGGCTTCAGGGTGAGTAAATCATGGGCTAATTTTCATTTTTGGGTGAACTATCCCTTTAACATGTTAACAGCAGCAACATAACTAAAAAAACACTTACTAATAGGGATGTAACAATATATTTAGTCACAATATATCACAAAAATGCAACAATATGTATCGTGGATAGTGACGATATGCATCGAGTATAGTACACCCAAAATGAAAATTACTGTGCGTGAAAAAAATTAGTTTACAGAGTTTTAGTGTCAGTAGTACATTAAACTACTATGTATAATGAATATAATAATGTATAATAATGCAATGGAGGAATATTTGTGGGTCCAGATAATGCCAAATGTCTTATGTTACCAGTAAAAAGTGCCCTACATTATTTTAAATATATCAGTGATAGAGTGCAAACATATTCGTCTAAAATAATTCTGTTTTCAGATTCAGAATCATGAATATTTGTATTCTGGTGTCACTATTGTCTTGTGCATTGGGTTACCAGCACCAAGTCCAAGCCTATTTATTTCCACCCCCAATGTAATACCAAATTTAGCATTTGAATTAACAGTTAAATTTGTATTAACCTTTTACCATATGTCTTGGAGTATCGCAATAATATCGTATCGTGAGTTCAGTATCTGATATGTATCGAATCGTGACATGAGGGTATCGTTATACTTACTAACGTTACATATCAATGCAACTGGGTTCTTTAATTTGATCTGCTCTGATACCCTCAGAGAAAAAGCTTAATTTCAATGCCACAATGAGCCCTCTGACTGATAAAATGTAACTAGTCCTGCACTTCATATTTGAGAAGGGTGGGCAAACTCCTTGGGCTCCAACACTTTAGCTACATAAATAGCAGAAGAGTAGATTAAGAAACTGAAGTATTTTATGGTTATAAATTACATGTAACGTTATATACCAAAATATAAAAACCCACATTATCTACAGCAGAATATCCTGGATGATCCCTGCTTGACAAAATTACATTCATCCGTTTATTCCAGCCTAATAACCAAGTGAACAAATCGGTTAACCATTATTTAGTCAAAGTATAACGTTAGTTTCCCTTGAATGACACTTCCCTCTTTAACGTTACCAAGCTAGTTTTAGCACCACTCCTCATTGACTTGGACACATTTATATAGTTTTAATAATCTTTCTTATGTATGTTTCCTAGCAAAAAGGAAAATGTGTTCTTACGCACCTCCGCGGGCTGCTGCTCGTTAATGACTTTATTCTCTTCTTGAGTTGCTATAACTCGGGCTGAAAACAACACGACGTTCAGTAGAACAAGGAAGCATTTAAACCTGCCACCGCCATGCCGCTCGCCGGCCCGGAGAGGCATCTTAAGGGATGGCTAATGATGTTTATGTTGTGTTAATACTCTGCAAATTAAGCTAATAAAACCGCCAATTTATAAACATTAGCGTTTTGTCGTTACAATCTGGCTAGCCCACCGTGGTCATCATCTTCGCCGAAAGACTGACACCACAGGCTAAGACAAATCTGTTGCGTGGAAAAAGACCGTGATTGGTCAGTTGGGAGATAAACGTGTACAGGAGAGGCATACGTCACTAAAATTGAGGTAGACTATTGGTTGAAACGTCCGTCAGTCTTAATAACGTATGATGAAGAAACACCTTCAAGTTAGGTAGAGTTGCAATGTAAAAGGAAAATACCGGTATGAGATTAGAAACTCTTCTCAAAAGACACAAATAATTTATAGACATGAGTTTGGCTTCTCATTGTTACACGAATTTGCTGAAATGTATTTACTAGCAGCTGAGTAGACAAGCAGTGGATACTATTATTTTAAGTGTAAATGCCATCTTTTCACACGAAGTTCAACATAATATATGATGGACGATATTCACAAAATCGGTGTAAATAGAAACGAAAAGCAATGGTGGGTACATAAACATGTTATACGTTGTTTCGCAATACTGACCTCAAGATTATTTAATCTAATGCATAAACTGAATCATAAACTAGTAAAATCTTCAAATACATGTAAATATCCATTTTATTTGACCATATTTACCACTGGTGCTTAATCATTGATATTTTATAATTGTTAACCTTTCTGTATTTGCTTATGTTTTCTCGTTCAAATGAAAATAACGTGAATGTCATCGATTTATCAATAACAAGAATTAGGCAGAAAAAAAATGTAATGGACTCTCTTGTTCTTAGGGTAGGATCCACTTTCATTTGAAGTAATTTGCTGATAGCTGTTGTCAATCACCTCCTGAGGTCAGTCTGTCAGGACAACGGTCCATTTCGCTCATGTTGCCCTGCATTTTTCTTACACATTAAACATGCATGAACCATGTATCAGCTGTTCCAATTTTTAGAGAGAGCAACTGAGATCAGCTTATTTTCATTTAGCTAATAGTTTATTTATTCATTAGGTTCATATTTTCATATAAAATGCATAAATCACAGGACAAAGGGTATAAAAGCTTTGCGTTGACGTGGATATGTCTCAAACTTGCTCCTGTAGTAATCATGGCAGAGCTGTGCAGCCAGTGCCTGGTTATAGAGTACATACAGTACCACCAGCCACCAGGTTAATGAACTGCAGGCACAACAAACACTCATAGCAACATAAATCAGAAGCTCAGCCAGGTAATGCGGACAAGAGACCAGCTCAAACCAGCCCCCACATGGCATCTTGTGGGCCAGAGTCTCTACTTTACCTGTATTGCATAGAGAGAACAAATATTTAATTTTTGTAAAAAAACAAACAAACCAAAAAAACTATATATATATAATTTAAGAATAATTTAAACAAACTCCAGCGGCTTCCTACCCGAGTTGTCAGTCCTCATCTTGGCCAGCAGTGAGAGGGACCAGTGCTGGAGGAGTGATGCCCCAATGAAAAGAAGAGTCCCGATCCCATGATACCATGTGAGCTGTTTAAAGAGAGGAACAGCCCCTGACATTGCAGAGAGACACAAATAGTAAAGTTCAGGGAAATATCCAGATAAATCTGGGCTGCTATATTCTAAAATATTAAAATATTTTTTTTGTCAATTTAACATGAATTAGGTTTGGATTTGCCATTTAAAGTTGCATTTTACTTAAAAAACAAAACAAAAAAAGTGTTGATAGAATCTTAAATAGGACACTGTACTAACCTGGTTGTGGCAAAGAGGCATTTAAACACAGGACAGTTAGTCCAAGTAGGACATAGTAGGACAAACCAAATGCGTACTGGAGTATATGGATCACACCATTAGAGAATACGCTGACAAACAGGCACTCCAATAGCCGTCTAAAGGAATGGACCCATAGTAGCACTTGTAAAAGCAGAATGGACAAATGTAACTCTGAAAATCACACACAATAAAGCATGTGAATATTCATTGAATGGTAAATGGAAAATAACAGATCAAATTAAATAGATATTCGTGAGAAATAAATAATATTAAAAATATTGGTCTCCCTTATAAAGTGTACACAATGAGCTTTCAGAATTTTTCTCTGATTGTATTTAATGTTTTTAATGGCATAGTTGGTTACTACATTATTACGGTTTTAATATAGTAACATGCTGGTCACCATGTTTTTAAAAAAAAAAAGTAAGATAAAGTGAAAAAGATATATTTCTTTGCAATTTGAAGTACCGTTCCAAGCATCTTTTGGTCTGCCAGTCAAACAACAAAGCACGTCAATCAGCCAATCAGGGAGTGTCTCACTCATGACGACAGAACGTATGGAGAATAGAAGAAGCAGCCCATTCCACATGACAGACACCGCATAAAAATGAACGAAACACCTGAAGAAAATATCAGAGAAAATGTTTCCTGCACAATCGTCTTTGCGTGCTCAAACCATGATATCTGGGGAATATACCGAACTTTAATTAATCCAAAATCACCTCTTTGATACGTCAAAAACGAGCTGCCTGCTTGGGCGCTTGATGTGTTCCTTAGTTTTTCCATATCGGATTACATCCTGAAACACGTCCTCGAGCCTGTTAGGCAGTTTTAACGAAAACGTATAAAGGCAAAAGGCTACTATAAAACATAGTGCTAACAAAAACCATATAATATTAACTATTGCTATTGTATGCATCGCAGCAGCACCATACTTCCTTTCCTCTCGTGTAATTGTTCCGAAGGAAACAAATACTGGATATTTTAGGTTCCACTGACTGAAATTTGCTGATAGACCCCACGCCACGCTCTATGGTCAGGTAATGTTCCAGAACATCTGGCATTATTTAAACCCACTTAGAAGAAACATTACTGCATAGCTCTCTGTATACAAAATCTTTTCATAATCTTAAATATATGAAAATGAATGTTTATTAGCACAAGCTTTCGTTGATGATATGTTCCACTGTGGATCAGAAAACTGGAGAAAAAGAGTCAGAACACCTTGATACTGATAGTGAATCATGTCTTCAAAACTTGAGAGCCCTTTATTAAACTCTGGACTAGACTAAATCTAGGGCTATTTAATACCATGACAGAGAAAGCACGTTTCGTTTAATCTATTTTAAAAGGCTATTTTTTTTTGTCTATGTTTAGCCTACTCTCTGGGTCACCGAATCGGGCCCGTACGCGATATTTTTTCCCCTAGGATGGTTTTCCCCTTTTACGCCTCTGATTGGCTTGAAGGGCTCTCCTGTTAGTTATTTGATTTGAGTTAGTGTGTGTGTGATGGGTAGGTTTAAGGGTGCTATTGGGTTAATGTGTGTGTGATGGGTAGGTTTAGAGTTTGTGTGTGTGTATGTGTAACTTCTCATCTGAAGAGATGAGGTTTCACGGCCAAATCAAACCAATCGGAGGAGAGCCCTTCTAGCCAATCAGAGGCGAAAAAGGCGGTACCTTCCCCTACTGGGAAAAATAATATCGTGGCCCGTACGAGTAGGCGACTACAATTTGCAGTTCTACATTATGAACACAAGAGGGCAGCAGGCAAAATATATTTTGTCAGTACTCTCAGAAACCCATCATCTACCCCCATACATTTGAAAAGGGAGCACATTTGTCGTGTGATCCTAGAAAATCACTGCTAAAATACTCAAAGACAAACCGACATCTCAAGTGTATTAAAATAGGCCTATGCAATTTTCTGAGGATGTATAGTGCATATGTCAGGATGTCTACTATCAATATAAGTAAATAATCAGAGGTGGACAAAGTACACAACTTCCTTACTTGAGTGAAAGTATAGATACTACTGGTCAACTATTACTCCGTTACAAGTAAAAGTTGTAAAGACCGATTTTTACTTAAGTAAAAGTACAGAAGAACTCGTTTTTAAAAGTAGCCTACTTAAGTATAGCAAATGTCAATGCATTGTTTTATTATTGTTGCAGTGTTGCATGTAATACTTACAGTAGGCCTACCTTATGCCTCTGAATCTATGCCTGCCTACCTACCCTCATATCAATATCAAATTTGTTTCTAGAACAAAGTTCCAGTGATTGAAGATTGAATAAGTGCACTCAATAATGTCCACAATGGTTTCGTACACCCAAATGGCTGTTCCCTCAAATAGTGCCCTATTTAAAGTTTTTTGGCTTTTAGTATGAATATGTTAGCCTTACTGTTATCTATGAGCTAGTATGCTCCAAAACAATGACAAAATTGAAACCCAACGTTGAAAATGAAAATCATGTTGATGTCAGAAAGAATCCAACGTCAGATTGATGTTAATCTCCAACGTTGGACAGATGTTGTATTGTAGTTGAAAATGAAAATCGGGTTGACATCAGAAACCAACATCAGACAGGTTCTGACGTCAACCCGACATCGGGCTCTGACGTCAATACGTCAACCCGACTTTCATTTCCAAACAAAATGCAACCAAAATCATCCCCTGACTGACGTTACAACTTTCTACTCAAGGACCTTGACAGAAATGGAGTGGAGTAAAAAGTACGATATTTGTCTTTCAAATTTAGTGAAGTTAAAGTAAAAAGTTTCCAGAAAACATAATACTCAAGTAAAGTACAGATACTCAAAAAGTGTACTTAAGTACAGTAAATGTACTTTGTTACTGTCCACCTCTGAAAATAATCTATAGCATAGTGCCATTATAAATATGATATGAGTGGTCCAGTGACACAACTTGACAATTGATGTACAATCCCAGTCTTATTTTGCTGCACGTGTACTTTCATGGTCCATCCAATAAATAATAGTATTTGTGATTTTAAAAAAATTGGTCACCAATACTTCATATGTATTACACCTGTGTGTGTGTGTGTGTGTGTGTGTGTGTGTGTGTGTGTGTGTGTGTGTGTCTCATTATATTTTCCATTTAATGAGGTTGTAATTTATAACAGGAAGTAAAGCAATAACCAGACTAGACAATATGCGTCTGTCTGTTTGTTTGGACAGTTTGCCAGCAATGCAAGGAAACCTCATCCCCCACTTGAGCCATTAACTATATGTGTGTTCAGTCAATAAGTGTGTGTGTGTGTGTGTGTGTGTGTGTGTGTGTGTGTGTGTGTGTGTGTGTGTGTGTGTGTGTGTGTGTGTGTGTGTGTGTGTGTGTGTGTGTGTGTGTGTGTGTGTGTGTGTGAGAAAGAGAACAAACCAAAACCTCTGACATATTTGACGCAGGATGATCATGGAAAAGGTTGTGTTTCCTATCTGAGGATGTGTGCAGTGTTTGCCCCCTCCCGACTCTTCCTCACTGTACACAGTGCTGGACTGGACCCTATTAAGATCCCTTCCGACACTCTCCTCTTTTCATTCTTTTGTCCCCCTGCCCATCCATCCATGCTGCTTCTCCACCCATTTCTCTATGGCCTCTTCTGCATCTTCCGCTTTGTGTTCCCCAAACACACACACACACGCCAACCAACCCCATTTCTCACAAAACCTTTCCTTTACAGTATGGAATGCATCCATACATTCATTCTCCATACCACTGCCCTGTCCTCTTTAGGATCACAGGATGTGAATCCATAATATTTCAAAACAATTTCTAATTATTACCATTTCTAATTATTACACATTTTATCCCTTAATATGGGTCAAGTTGTGTCACTGGACCACTCACGGCATATTACTATGGCACTATGAGAGCCGAGATGTCCAAACTCGGTCCTGTAGAGTTTAGCTCCAACTTGCCTCAACACACCTGCCTGGAAGTTTCTTGTATGCCTAAAAGACCTTGATCAGCTGGTTCAGGTGTGTTTAGTGGAGCGGAACTCTGCAAAACAGTGGCCCTCTATGAGCAGGATTGGACACCTGCTATAGGTACTTTCTTATAATTTGATAGTAGACATTCTGACATATTGGTAAGCCACCATTTAACTCCATGTCGCCTAGAGGACAACTTAAGTGAAACATGCACAGTTTACCACTAAAGCCCCGTTCACACTACACAAGACCAAGCAACGCGATACCATTCATTTCAATGGTGACCGGGCGACTTCCGGCGACAGCGACCGTTGGCGACTAGATGGGGCGTGTCTAGCGACGCGACAAAGTTGAGAAATTTTTAACTTTATGCAAATGAAGAGCGATTTTCGCGAGCGACAACCAATAGGAGTGGAGCGCACGTGATCCTTCTCCTCAGCCGCTGGGCCTGCAGTGATGGATGGCAAGAAAGCTGATTCGCTGTCTTTTGGATGTCATACTAGTCAACCAGTAGTGGGAACGCCCACTAGCGACCTCATTGCCAGCGCCTGGCGACTTGCAGCGACAAAAAGTCGCGTGAATTGTGAACGGGGCTTAACACAGAACACATAAAAACCAGGGAAAACAGTGACAGCTTTCTTCTCTTTTTGTTCTCTTTTTAAACTCAGCCATTCAAATGTATATTATTGACTTTGCTGTTTTGTTTGAAGACATACTGTACATGGGCCCCCTGTTTTTCACCGCAGTTTAGGTGCCACACACAGCACTGCTGCCAGTACGCAGCTTTCTCTCCCCGTCACCGGTCTCGAGAACTGGTCCGTACCACGACGGGAGTTGAACATGGACGATCTTCGTTTTCTCTCTTCGATCTTCGATTTCACGTCCTATGACAAATTGCATCCCGTATTGATTCAACACACACAGATATAACCCTAACTCTGGCATGCACATGCACACTCTCCAAAAACTATGTTTACATGGTCGCATGAGCCACATGTTAAACCACTTTCTCTTAATCCCCAAAACCGCATTTATATGACATTTCAGAATTCTGCTTTCTCCAAAAACCCTGAATAAGCCATTTTTATTAGAGCACATAAACATGGTAGGTATTATTGTGCATTTATATGATTCAATAGGGATGTAAAGTGCTAATATGGTTAGATTGCGTAAACCATATTGCTCTCTCACTCTTTATTGTCTTGTTCTGGTTGTCTGAATAGCTTCATTTTTCATGGCTTTCCTTGTGTTTTCTTTTCCAGTAACCAGTGCTGATGACAGAGCAGGAACTGGCACACCTTGACCAGGCCCATTGGGATGTAGTAGGCAATAGATTATTCAATTATGGCATCATGGTTAAAAAAAAGTTTAAAAAAAAAAAAAAAAAAAAAAAAGAGAGAGAGAGAAAGAAGAACGTTTGTATTTTTTTAAACTTACACCGATCAGAATCTTAAAACTAAAAGGAGATTTTGAATACATTTGAAACTGAAGTGTGTGTTTCTGCACCTTTTGTTTCACCGAGTGAAAATGGTTTGGTTGTTTCAAACTGGTTTCCGAAAGACTCACCATCTTTCATTGGTTGCAAAAACAAATAGTTCCCCCCAAAAACTCATAAATAAAGCTCAAATAAACAATGTTTACAGACAAACAAGCTTACTTATAGCTTTATTTATTAAACTGTGGTAGAAAAAAAATGAATATCAAAGAAATAAATGTATGTTTGTCTGTCTGTCTGTCTTTTTGTTTGTTTGTTGAACCTTTAGATTTATAACCCATCGTATGCTATTTCTTGCAATATTACATAAACTTATAGTAATAAATTATACATTCTACTCCATCCATTTATATCCATCATTCATTCTTTTTTGAATGTTTTGCTCTTTCCTATATATCAAACAAACCAACACAAAGAGTTCCCTTTGAGGGCTTTTCCATGCCTACTGTTAGCACGAGTCCAAAAGATAGGAAGTGCTTTCTTTTTCCTGATCCCCTGCTCAGAGGGGAAGTGTTTTAGGTGCTTCGACTCCCAGCAGAAATGACCAGGACAGGAAACATGTGGTGGTTGGAGACTCTAACTCTAACCCTTTTGATCAACCCCCCAAATGAACAACCAAGACCCATAATGCATCATTTCACAGTCCCTGCAACAACAACATCCAAAAAGAGACTAAATGAGTATCCCAAAGTGTAATCCCAAAGTATTAGACAAAACAGACATCAGAATTTGTTTTTGTTTTCAGACAAGGTAATTTCATGCATATACCTATAGTCAGTGAAACCCCTTTTTGGAACCTTTATTTTAAAGAGTGTCTTCATAATTAAGCCTTCCATTACAAACTTATCACACCATTAATTGTGAAACCACTGTATACAACCAACACTTGACCCAAGACTTGATATTGTCCGTCACTCAAACACAATACATGGCCTTAGCGCATTGTTTGCCTGGAGATGTCCTGTGTCATACCACGGCTTACTGCTACACAACAAAAGGTAACCTCCCTCCCTTTCCAGTTTTATCCTTTGGATCCACCCATATCCCACTGGCAGCTTCTCTGGGACATTCTATCTCAGCTTGCTGGAAAAACAAGGGAGGTTACCAGTACTCCGCCAGCCTCCTTACCTCCAGAGACAGGGAAACAGAAATACTGTTAATGATTGTCCTGTAACACTTTACAGTACAGGAAACATGGCCACACAGATTGTTTACAGACAATGGAATGGTCAAAGTGTTGCCCTCTGCAAAATTAATCTGCTAGTCATTTACACATAAGTAGCATTTCTTTCACTAAATTATTCAGAAGGCGGTCCAGGTGGAGATATTCAATGAGTTATGTATTTAGAAATGTACAGAATCTATTCGAATTATCCTGATTATTAAAACAAAACATCAAAAGGTGCCATTCTGATACAAGAATCAGTTCCTATTATTTTCTCTTTGACTGAGATCAGTGAAAATGTCAATAAAAAAGGAATTTCTGTCAGAAACCAAAATTGTCTTTGGCCCCTCTACTTTTTTTTTTTTTTTTTACTTAAGAATGCTTACTTTTTAAAACTAAAAATCAAACTCTTGATTTCATACAAAATCAAAAACTAAGAAAATAGTTACATTTGTTCATGAGATTGGGATTGCATGTCTATTTAGCGCACTCAAAAAACTTAATGAAACTTTTGCTTTTTTGTATCTATTTATTTATTTTCGTGCTTGTTTACACACAAAATACAAACTATCATCGAAATTTTCATCAAAGAAATCTGACTTAAAGTGCTAGGGTGATCTCCCGTTACGCCCAGATTGGCCTTGCCCAAACTAGGGACAGCACCCTGTCCACCATGTTTGGTGACTTCTGAGCGTCACTCAAAATCCCTTGCACTTGAATAATTTGTGTTTTTGGTTAAAGAATGTGAACTTAATAGATGTATTAGCTCTGTGTGTTTTTAATTATATTTATTTGTGTTAAGTTTCAAGTCACCATTAGACTGATTATTTCAATTTAGATATTTATATATTTTGCTAGAAGTAATGCCTACAATCTATTAAATTTGCTCAATGACTATACACAAGGTTAGCCAATTTATTGGAAGGTTCTGCTAAACAAAGAAAGTTCCTCCTGACTATTATGTCATGTTAATGCTCAGCTCAGCTTAACTTAAAATGGAACCCATGGAGTCCAAGTAAAAATCTCTATTTAGTACAACTTCAGATTTTTTGTGTCCTTAGATGCACATAAGATATGCACAGTTTAAAAAAAATTGGACTGCAAAATATGTAACTTTCAAGATTAAAATAGAAATTGATCAAATGAATAAACACGTAAATTTCCATATTCCTTTAATTTTTAACACCCACACTTTTAAAGAAAACACTTAATTCTCCATAAAAAAATCCATCCAACTTTCTTTGGACCATGATGATTAAACTTTAATTGAGGGGTTAGAACCCCCAACCGTAATTCTCACCCCGGCATAGCCATTTGTTTAGTGAAAATTGTGCATTTTCCATATCTTCACTTCTTGATTGAGTTAGGTCCACGGAATTGATCTCTGATAAAGTGATTTAGACTGTTCTGAAGGTCTATGTTATTGTGACCTTCGGCCTCTGGAGTCTATGGACATTTAAAGAACGGTAGGCTAATATATTTGATTAGCACATGTTGCGCGCGCCCCTCCCTCGTCTTCCTCCCTATCAGCGCACTTTAGTCACGCGCACATCTAGCGCACGAATCCATCAGTGAGCGCGCAACAGGTCTCAATCAGGGGAAAAACTCAGAACAGCACAAGGATTTCTGTTCCTTTAAGGATTTTAAAAACCTATCTTAAAGTGCACAACTGTGTCGTATAATCGTGATGAGGAGTTAACGAGTCTGACTTTTGGTTTCATGCCGGGACGGTCCTGCGTTACTGTCGGGCGATGGCAAAGACATCTTATGTGCTTTCTCTCGTCGACATCCTCTTAACCATCAACTTGGTTATAGGTATGACATAAACATCTGATTAAATACACAAATGCTCACATCATCATTACCTTTCTTAACATTATATTCAACTCATTGTTAATTGGCAATTGAACGCACTGTTTGCAGTTGCTGAGTTTAAGATATAGGCATACATTATACAATCTCGTATTAAAATGTTAAGTGTAGGCCTACACCTGTTGTTGATTTGAAACAACTGTAGCTATGATTATTATCACTTTCCCCCGTAATTGTATCTGTAGTAGATATTTTTAGAATAGCCTACTAAAAAAATGTAAATGCTCCTGCTATAGGCCTAAATTGTAAAGTGATTCATACTTTTTATTTATTTAAAAAAAAGGTCATTCATAGGCTATACTATTTTTTAACTATTCAAAAAATATTTGCTACAGATAAAGTAATGCGAATAAGCATCCACAGAATTCCACGCACAAATTGTAATATTTGTTTAGATTATTCTAATGAGTTATGTACAGTGTTTGTTTTATGTTGCCTTTATGTTATTTAGTTATAGCTTTATTTTAGTGTTGTGTTTTTCTAATGGTGTTTTGTGTATGTTTGGGTAACATGGGCTCTGCCTATTGGTTACAGTTGTAGAAATCAGTTTAGATAAAATAAGTCATCATGTGGTTTTACATTTTTTATTTAATGTTATTGTCAGAACATTTTATATAGCATATAACGTTTTTTTCAAAATGGGATCTAGTGAGAGATTTTTGCTTTAAGGGAAGTTAAAAATAAAACGTCCTATTCTTTCTCGCCCTTATCTTGTAATTCCTTCAGTTCACTCTTATTCATCAGATATAATTAAGCCTTTGCCGCCATTGTTGTTTCAAATGCTTTCAGTGTCTGGCCATTTAATGTTAAAACAAACAGTTGAATAAGTAACTCTCCATGGAGTGCATGTATTTTAGCATGATTGCGTGTGCCCATAAGAGTGTGTGTTCCCAGTTCTAGTTCCTCTGGAGCAGGAATCCCACCTCAGGTTTTGGAGCGCGGGGCCATTTAGCCTGGCCCCGGCCCATCTGCCCATGGGTTTCCTGTTTTGACACATCCAGGCCTCTGTGCAGCACTTGCAGCTCCAGTGGAAAAATAGCCCAGGGTCCCACATTACACTGCTCTATGCCATTCTGTGCTTGCTGTTATACATGTCTACATCCCTTACTGTATATCCAATTAAAACCAGGCCAGGCAACGGACAGGCATTCATGGTCCTCACCGCTCTTGTGCTCTCCTGATTGACTATGTGAATCCATGCTTATGCACAGAGACAAGCAGTGGTTTGACTGTTAGATTGAGTGGCTGAGCGGCACAATTCTTTTTTGACTGCACTTTTTTCAGACATATATTTTTTGTGGTTTGTTGGTAATGAAGCTGTAGATTTAGCCTGATGGTCGAGCTAAAGCTGTCAAAATGGCTCTCACACAGTTACTTTATGTGTGTTACAAGCATAAAGATAAAAAGAGAAAAGGGAGTCGCTTTTAGATGAAGATGGAGATAAAGTTTGTTAATAAACTAAATTGTTCTGGGATTAATATTAACCATGTTAAAAGCACTAGGGAGATCCTAGGAAAGGTGCATGTTGTACACCTCTTAAGGTGATGATACACAGGGCAACTTTTTGGGCAATGTTGCTGGGCAATGTTGCCCTCAACGGGCAACCAGATGAGACACAGGGCCCACGGCCGATCTAAATTATCCAGATATTCATTTATTGCCCATTTTCAATGGGAAAGTGCCCAAGCAACAATCACTCGGCAAGAACATTGCTCAAAAAGTTGCCCTGTGTATCATCACCTTTAAAGTGTATTTAGTCTTGATGTTAATGTGATATATTACAGCTATATTCTCAGTAGTTTATTGCTCTGTGGATGGCGGTCCTAGTGTCCAGTGTTTAGTTTTAATGTGAAATATTGTTATATGTTGTCTAGATTAAAATTTACACTGGGTGTTTTGTGTCTTTCTTGGTTTAAGTTGGTTTAATTAAATTAAATAAGATAAACAGCAGAAATCTGGTAACATGTGTTGCTTTATTGCACTTTATAGCATAATATTAATATATTTTTCATTAATAAAAAAACATTTCATCCAGACTAAATAAGTTATTTGCATTAGTAATAAATTAGACCAGTCAGTGTAAGAGTATATGAATATCTTATATCCACTAAAGTCCTGATTTTAGTCACTCAGTGATTTTAATTGTATGCGAGTATATGCATGTGATTATCAGCAGCTTATTCTTAAACAAAGCATTCTGAATGTATTTTTTTTTCTCTTGTAGCGATAGAGCTCAGGTTTGTGCCGGATCCTCCAACCTTAAACATCACTGAGAAAACTCTCAAAATCAATGCTTCAAATACACTGGAGATCACGTGCAGGTAAGCGTTGCTTCTGGAGAAGAGAAGAGCAGTTCTGTCTGTACTTTTTTTCTCATAAGCTGGGAAAAGGGTTCTGCTTTTGTTAACTGTTTGATTTTTTTGTGATTCTTTATTTATTAAACATTTTGTGTGTATAACTATTTACAACAAAGCCCAAGATCTGCCCATAATCATAAGACCAAATAGAGACAATAAAATAAATAAATATGACAGGAAATTAAAATATAATTTGACAAAACTACATAGAAGGATCTCAAGAGTCTTTTTGATAGAGTCTCAATAAGGACCAGCCAAATTTGTATTGTCTTTCTGTTGGCGCCGTGCACTTTAGCTGTGGTACACTCCAAAAGAGCAATGTCCAGCAAATAGGACATCCAGATAGACATAGCTGGGGTAGTTGGTTCCACCCACAGTTTTAGGATAACCTTTTTAGCAGCAGTAAGAGCAGCGGACAGAATCCTCCTTTGATTGACAGACAGTGACAGTGAGGAATCATCCAGCAAAAGAAAAACCAGATGGTCCTTTTGGATCGGAATCTTCAGAAGATCTGCCAGTAGGTCCTGGACTGAAGACCAGACCGGCACAATTAGAGAACAGTCCCAGAACATATGCATATATGTACCTAAATTTGCGCTGTTACACAGGTGACAAAAAGGATCAGACTTTCTTTTCATTTTAAATAGCAAACAGGGTGTGGCATATGCTTTATAAATTAACTTATAATGTAACATTTGGTGAGCTGGATTTTTTGAGGTAGCCAAACAATTCCCCCAGACAGTGTCCCAGTCAATCACGGTGTTAAGTTGTCTCTCCCAGAAGTCCTCAGTCGGAATGTTCTTACCACAAGCGATTTATAAATTATGCTCACAATACCTCTAGAAGCCATACTGGAATCTATCCAGTCTATCATGGGATGAGAGGATATTTTAGTTGACCAGGGTAAACTATTTGATTTTTGATGGTAAAACCAGAAAGTAAAGAATGTGGTTTTTGTTAGATTACATTCCTGACACTAGTCTTTTCTACCTGTTACACAGGGGGCGGCAGATCCTGGAGTGGTCTACACCTCACAACCGAAGCCGTTCTGAAACCCGGCTCACCACATCAGACTGTAGCGGTGATGGACTATTCTGTAGCACTTTAACGCTCTCCAAAGCAGTAGCCGATGAGACGGGAGAGTACCGCTGCTTCTATAAAAGCCTGCCTATCGAAGATGGGAAGACTTCTATAGCTGTGTATGTCTTCATAGAAGGTATGGTTTTCATGTGTAATCTTGTTGGACAAATGTTTAACAAAAAGATGAGCACATTTTTAATAGTGTTCCCACTCTCTCTCACTGTCTTCCAGAGAAAGTGGGAGAGAAAGTCGGAATGTTGTAAAAATGCGTTCATCGCATACTTCCTTTGTTGTTTTCAGGATAACCTTCTGACCTCCTCATTCTTCATAACCTCTTCACTCTAGTGGCACCACCACATTTCACTTCCTCTTTTGACCTGTAAAGTGTTTGTCCAGACAGACAAAATATATAGGAATTGGTTTGTTTTAAGTTGCTTGTTTTTAAGTGTGGTTGTGTGTGAACTTGCACTCCATTTCATACTTATTCACATTTGATAATCAGGTTTCAGAACTGTTTGTTAGTAGTATCATATCTCTTATACTATCAAAAGAGTGTATTTAGTATAGAGATATGACAAATTATACTAGATGGCAACTTCATCTTTTCTGCGTGTGGTTTGTAAATATCTGGTTGTTGGTTAAGTATAAATACCAGACATGCCTATGTTTTTAGATTATCGGACGCCGTTTGTCCGAATGGCTCAAGATTATGATGTGGTGTTCATTCGGGAGGGAGAACAGGTGGTCATTCCCTGTCTGGTATCTGTGGAGAACCTAAATGTCACACTGTATACAGTGAGTATTTCTACACACACATACCCTACACTGTAAAAAGTGGGGAGCTATTTCCATTTGATCTAACCCTAGATTTAGTTTTGTCGGTGTCATTTTATGTATTTAGGATGATTCAGTAATGTTAAATAATATTTGTGACCCAAAAACCATTTAGATGTTGTTATGTAGCATCATCAGCAAAGATCATCCAAATCATACAAACTACATTATTGTTCACAAGTTTGGGTATAGATATTTTAGTTATTTTAATGTTTTTGAAAGAAGTCTCTTATGCTGCAATTCTGCATTTATTTGATACAATAAAGCAGTAATATTGTGAAATAATAATAATACAATTTAAAATAACTGTTTTCTATTTTAATATATTTTAAAATGTAATTTTATTCCTGTGATGGCAAAGCTGAATTTTCAGCATCATTACTCCAGTCTTCGGTGTCACATGATCCTTCAGAAATCATTATAATGCTGATTTGCTGCTCAAGAAACATTTAATATTATTATCAATGTTGAAAACAGTTGTGCTGCTTAATATTTTTGTGGAAACCATGATGCATTTTTTCATTCTTTGATTAATAGAAACAGCATTTATTTGAATTAATTTCTTTTGTAACAGGGTAAAAGTTGTGCGTCCTTACTGAATAAAAGTACTTGTTTCCTTGAAAGAAAAAATCTTACTGACCCCAAACTTTTGAACAGTAGTGAACATTGTGAAAACTGCTTTTTATGGGAAGTTTTTTGTTTTCTTTTTTAAAATGATTTGAATGTAGCTATATTTATAGGTATTTTCTGTTGACTTCAGATCCATATATATATGAAATGTATGACTATAAAATATTTATTGTTTAGTGTTTACTCATTAAGATCCCTGTGTTGTGTGATTTGCTGCTGGTGATATGATGTGAAGAATGTTTGTGGTGTCTGCCCAACAGAAGTATCCAGTAAAAGAACTGACCACTGATGGGAAAGAGGTCATCTGGGATAGCAAGAAGGGTTTTATCCTGCCTAGTCATGTGGTCAGCTATGCAGGCGTGGTCTACTGCCAAACCATTATTCGAAACGAGACCTATCAGTCCTCACCTTACATTGTGGCTGTTGTAGGTAAACAAAAAAAAAAAAGTTCATTTGGGCAGGGGAATGTTGCTTGAAGTACAGTATGAAGTTTGTACATCTGACCTATCATTTATTTTAGTTTTGCAAGCATGTCAGAAATTGATCAAACTTTTGTTTTTGAGGAGGCGAGATTGCATGTTTCAGAATCATTTGTTGAGACTATATAACAGTCTGGTGTGAGATCAGCTGCCCTGGTCTCAAGAGAACAATGCTCCACCCGGCACGTCCCTTACACCCCTTCCCTCTTCCGCAGGATACAAGATCCATGACCTCACCCTGAGTCCAGCTCATGAGAGGCTGACGGTAGGGGAGAGGCTAATGTTGAACTGCACCGCTCACACCGAACTCAATGTGGGAATCGACTTTCAGTGGACCTTCCCACATGAGAAGGTCAGTGACTTAGAGAACTGTTTAATACAAGTTAACCTCAGTCGGCAGCATTTGTGGCATAATCTTGATTACCAAGGAAAAGAACTAGACCAGCCCCGGTTTTTTTACTTGTCTCCTTCCTGTTCTCTACATAAGTTTTGCAATGTCCGGCGATGGAAAAACAGCCAGAAACAGTCTAAACAAAAAATCTCTGCTATGTCTTTATTGACTTGTATTGACCCCAAAACATCCTTTAAAATGTATCATCAGCCAATCTTCTGTGTGACTGTCAATATCTGGCTACTTACACAGACTAGTCGACTTTAATGTTCTGCCGTTTCCGGTTTAATCCTGATGTCCTCTAGTTTCTGATCACGGCCTATAGAGGGCGCAACAGGATAAGAAATCTTGAAGTCCACTTTAATGCTCCGTTTCCAACAGTTAAAATGACAAATAAATGCATATTCCGAGAGTGCTCCACAAGACATGTTTGATTATACAACCTGGATGCTCAAAATTGATCAGGTGAATTCACGTTTCAAACAGCTAACTGTACACTTAAGTTAATCGCCGTTCTAAACTATTGTGCTGAAGCATTGTAACACACATACAGACAGCAGCTCGCACTTCACTTTCAGAACGTGCGCATACGGAAACATTCAGTAGCGCAGAAATGTATTGTCAACACTGTTCTGTGATTTATCAGTAAAATAGCTTAGAAACTGAAAAGATCTAGCATATATTTCTTTGTAACTAAAACCCACAGCTTCACTATTAGTAGAAATGCTGCCAGGTAGAATTAATTCAAACGCAATTGCTCTCTCACTAATGCATATGTAAATGTAATCTTTACTGTGCTACTTTATCTGTATCTGATTTAGAATAAGCAGAAATCTGTGAGAAATATATAACTGTGATAAAAATAAGCTGTTATATAGGAGCAATAGCCTTGTGGGCAACGCTGTGTCATATGCCATAGCTGTGCACAAGGCAACCCGCGTTCGAGGCTAAGCTCAAGGTTCAGGCTTATTTATTCATTAATGACGTCATCAGCGACTAGACAACGTCGACTCGACTTTCATCACATAAATGTTGACTTTAAAAAAAATCTAAAGTCATTCAACCCCTACTACTTAGTTATGCTGACATTTATGTTTTACTGAAGACACTTGAAGAAGCATAAACTCAATTCAATTCAAATCCATCCAATCCAGACCAGTTCAGCTGATTTTGTTGAATTGCAATTTCATAAATAGCATCATGCATTTCTCTGGTGGATTTAAGCCGTCTCTCTCACCTCCTGCAGAGAAGTGTCAACAGCTCAATGCCAAGGTCACGCTATGAGACCAGGTCCTACAAGAAGAAGCTGTGGAACTCCTTAGAACTGTCCAATACGCTCATTGTAGAGAATGTGACCATAAATGACACAGGAGAGTATATATGTGCAGCCTCTAGTGGTCAGATGCACAAGATTGCCCGAGCATCCCTCGTCGTCTATGGTATGTACTTTTAGGAATAACCACTTAGCAACAAAAACATTATATTATTTAAAACATTAGTGTTGCTGGCACACCAAGGCAAGTTATAAGTTGCTGGCATATGGTAGCATAAAGACCATATGTTTTCCAATACAAAAATACAATGTTTTAATAGCATTTGCTCTAACATATCGATTGATATTTCAGAGAAACCATTTATAGCGCTCAATGATCAGTTGTCGCAGACTGTGGATGTAAATGCTGGCCAGGAAGAGGCAAAAATCCTTGTCAAATATTATGCCTATCCAGAGCCTTCTGTCAAGTGGTAAGTGGAGTGTTACTTGTGTGTATATACGTATGTGTGTGTGTGTGTGTGTGCTATGTATATATATATATATATAGTGCCTATAAAGAATACATTAGAACTTTCTGTGCAAGTCAGACTGAACTTGCATTAAGCTTTCTTTCGCTCTTGTCCATCCAGGTATAAGAATGATCAGCTGATAGTGTGGAAGGATGAGTACAGGATGAAGCCTAACAGAGGATCTCTCACTATATATGGTGTCACAGAGAAGGATGCTGGGAATTATACTGTTGTCATGACAAATAAGATTACCAAGGAGGAGCAGAAAAGAACATTTCAACTATTGGTTCATGGTAATGAATCTCTTCTCTTCTCTTCTCTTCTCTTCTCTTCTCTTCTCTTCTCTTCTCTTCTCTTCTCTTCTCTTCTCTTCTCTTCTCTTCTCTTCTCTTCCCTTCCCTTCCCTTCCCTTCCCTTCCCTTCCCTTCTCTTCCCTTCCCTTCTCTTCTCTTCTCTTCTCTTCTCTTCTCTTCTCTTCTCTTCTCTTCTCTTCTCTTCTCTTCTCTTCTCTTCTCTTCTCTTCTATTGACTTGACTGTATTAACTTGTGTGTTTATATGTTTAGTTCACCCTAAGATCTTTGAGAAGGAAGTGCCGTTGGATCGTGATGTCCATATGTACGGCAGTAGTCCTACACTCAGATGCACTGCTAGCGGAGGATCCAGCCCTGTCACAATAAAATGGCAGTGGATGCCCAGAGAGGACTGCCCAATCAGATTTCTGTAAGTCATATGCCACATGATTTGACGCTGTCTTCTTGTTTTGATTCAAATGTAACCTGTATAATACAGCTAAGAATAAGTAAAAAAAGTTTTGTTAGATAAATCTGCTTCATGTGGTAACATCTAAATTAACTGGTCAAAATATTACTGAATTATAACTCAATTAACATGACTAAATTAGGTTAGACAAATGAAAGTCATTTTAAGGTTACGTAAAAAATTATCCCTAAGATATCAGTTGCACATCACCACATTTTAAACCTATGTAGAGTATGTTTCTTGTTCTCTCGTTTCTTTACATTTCTGCATTATCCTATCTACTCTGCGTCTATATTACTGTAAATATTGTTTTTCTTGAATGACAAATTGTTCGTGATATTCCTCATTTGTACTTTCCTTGATGAAATGCAATCCAAATGCTGAAACACGTAGATCACAACAAAAACTGAATTTCCTCATGGCCCCAAAAACATTTACCTGTAGCAAAACCTGTCATTCAGAAAGATAGCTATAAATGAAATGTTTCTTCCTGTTGTTGTATGGGTTGTATGCAGGTGCTGATTTGCTCAGTGCTTTGACATATTTGCGTGGTTGGATTATCTATGAATTCCAATAAAAGACATATAAGAACAGTGCTAGCATATTTGTTCCTGGTGTTCAGTGCAATCCATTCATCATGCTGTGCTCTAATTGGGCATTCATCCGGAAACAACTGTTGTGATTGGGCCAAAAAGAGAGGACTTAGAAATCAGCTACTGTGAGTTGTGGTTGACTTGTGACTTTGATTGGCAGCCTGCATTTACAGAACATCACTTCCAAGGATGTTGTGATCATGCAATGAGTGTTCAGGGCCAGGCATTACACAAGCCTTATCTTCAGATTGCAGCCTCACCTACTTCCGTAGTCCTCATCACAACTTCCTGTTGTTCTAAAAGCAGACACATTCAAAACCTGTGTCCTTGATCAGACATGAAAATAACACAATGTCTGTCAATGTGTCCTACAAACAAGAGTTCAACCTCCTCCTCACCTTACATTGCAGCTTTTATGTGACCTATTTTTGTGTTTGTCTTTTTGGCAACACTTTCTTTTAAGGTGACATTGTTACATGTTACTACAACCCTAACCGTAACTCTGTAGTGAGTACACAAGTAGTTACTCAGTACTTATTTGAGTAAGTACAATGTAATTACGTCACCTTAAAATAAAGTGTAACCCCCTCCCCCCATCTCTTTTTCCTCTCTTTCTCTGTTCTCGGTCTCGTCTTCCATGGCTAACCCACATGAGGTGCTGATGTCAAACCTAAGTCTAAACCCGAAGAATGTTTATTGACATGGCATATAATTCCCATTGCTCATCATAAATATGTGTGGCAGAAGTGGAATTACTGTACAGTAGATCTGAGAACAGTTATGGGATGGTCTAAATTTAGACCGTTAATAATAGATGCATTGTTGTTTAGGATTCAGTTGAATGTTTTTCCGGTTTTCCTTTTCCTGCTGGAGATGTGTAGATAAATAGGTGTTTATTTTTGTTTTCTCTTTTGAGATATGGATCCTCAATTGTAAAGTGTTAATATAAAATGCTTGTTTTTCCATAAATTTTTTTTTTTAATTGTAACATTTATTTTTAAAATAATTGTGGAAGCAGTCATACATTTTTTCAGGATCTTTTAATGAATAAAAAATGAACAGAAAGAACAGCATCAATTTGAAGTAATATTTTTGTAACATTATACACGTCTTTATTGTCACTTTTGATCAATTTAATGCATCCTTGCTGAGAAAAAAAAACTTTTGAACGGTAGTATTTACATGTATGCATTTAAGAGACAATTTTATCCAAAGTGACTTACATTAGAAGACCATTAAGCAATTCTTCACAGAGCCAACAATATTGGTACTCCACTATTCATAGTGTTCAATATTTAAAATGTGTTTTGCAGACCTGGAAAACATGAAAATTTACAAAGTATTTCAAAGTAATTCTATAAATCTTTAAATAATAATAATAATTGTATATTATTATTGTTTTGACCAAAAGAATTTAAATAATAAATCACTTTTTAATGTTTTGTCTTTTTTTTTGACTGTGTGAAAACTGTTACTCTCAGACCAAAGTCAGACCAGAGTGTGGTGAACTGTGACAAGTGGAGGGAGATATCAAATAACACAGGGAAGAATCCCATCATCAGCCCCACATCTGTCATTGAACGCTCTCTTAAGGTAAACCAGTACTGTGCTGTATTTAGCTCAGCCTTCGAACGTGCAAAGAAAAAAATGGTACGCATAATATATACAGTTGGTTCCTAATGTCGGAGACTGGGATTCAAAAAATCTAATTTACACCTGGTAATAAACCTGAAAAAAAGGATGTAAAGTAAATAGGAAATATTCAAGATCCATGTACTATTTCTTGTTCACTAATGAAATAAACAAATGTATTCTGCTTTGTACAGACAGTCAGATGTACTTGATTCTATTGAAGCTTAATATGCTCTTTGGAAATACTCAAATCATGCCGGAGAACATGATCGTCAGGTCTTGTTGAGTTCACGCAACTCGAGTACAGCTGACATTAAAGCAAAAAGACTAACCAAATGCGAAGACATTTCAAAATTCATGTACTTTTTTTCAATTCAGTTTTCTGATTTGTAATGAAAATGCAAAAGTGGTATGAGACTTTTTGGACCCCACTGAATTAGTGGTTAATCTTGGTGAATCTGGATGGATATAATTATATATTTTAAATCATCCACTGCCTGTTATGATGTTCTGTGTGTTCTCCCATAGACCATCAGCTCATTGAAGATCCAGAAAGCAGTTGATCATGCCCTCTACAGGTGCCTTGCCGCCAATAAGATGGGAGAAGAAGAGCGAGTCATTGTATTTCAAGTAACTCGTGAGTGCTTCCAAAACAGAGACAATCTCCACTGTACATCCCCAATTAACCTATTGCAATTGAAGTAATCAAATCTGAACTTTTGTCATCTTCACAGGTTTCCTCAACCTAAGCGTGCTCCCCTCCAGCAGCCCTATTGAGGGAGAGGATGTGCTAATGCGCTGTGTTGCCGACCGACTGCTGTACTCTAACTTACGTTGGTATCGGGTAACAAACTTAGCCAACCCCGATGCCCCTCCAGCGGCCGTGCCCTGTGATACCCTCACCCTTTCACCTTTCCACCAGCCCAATGTCACCATTTCAGGCCTGCAGGGCACTAATGCAACACTGGACCTGCCCATACCCAATGCCACTTTGATGGACCAAGGCCTGTATGCTTGCCAAGTGGAAAACGTGGGCACCAGTGAGAGAACCTGCTTACTTCACAACCTCAAGCTCAGAGGTTAGTCGATAGCTTTACATAGTGTTCAGGAAACTTGTTTAAGAACATTATTTGTCATTATTTGTGTAATTTAATTAGTTCGGTGATGGAATTGCACACTTGATGGACTATATTTAATTCCTGCTTGCTTCAGTTTGGTTGTTCAGATGGGATATATTGCAGAAATCATGTGCAAGCTTGAATGTACATCAGTTTATATCTTTCCACAGCTCTTGAGATGTCAAGAATTGTGACCAATCTGACTAACCAGAGAGTGAATGTGAGTGACTCTACCACTCTAGAGTGTGAGGTGACCGGCACACCAACCCCTACTGTAGTTTGGACTAAAGACAACCAGACCGTCATGGAGGGATCAGGTGCGCAAAATAAAACATCTGTAGATGTACAAAAAAATGATAGGTGTAAGAATAAACAACCCTCTCTATATCCTCAGTATTGTCCTGAAGAGTGGGACAATTCTCTTAAGGCTGGAATACACTACATGGCTTTTACACAGAATTTTTGCACCAATTTGCAGTGCTATTATAATGCTATATAAATAAAACTAAAATAACACTGTGGATGAGTCACCACAAGTTGCCGAAGGCCAGAGCCAGTCTGCAGGTTTTGAACAGTCGGAGTTGACAGATTTCACAGAAATTCACTTAGTGTATAATGGGTAGAGACTATTTTTAATCTTCAGTCTATGAATCCGCACAGTTGGTAGATATCAAACATGTTTGATATTTTGTTATAATTTCATTTGTCATGCATCTCCTTACACTCAGGCGTATGTTTCTGCGCGAGTTCGCTGTGTTAGGGACGACTTTAAAGTCTGATAGTGTGTGATCTTCTGTCTTTTTTTAGTGTACGATGCCCAGTTTTTCTCTGTAACCATTTACAAAGTCGATAAGTGTATGATCCTTAGAGTTTCTGTTCATACATGTAGTGTATTCCAGCATTTAGTTTGCTTCTCAGATCTGTTTCACATGTTGAAGGCAAATCTGATTTAAAATACTATTTTAGTTTCACCACTATTCTAAGGCTTGAGTCAATTATTCGTTTATTGTTAAGTCACACTGAATCTCATCATAAAATCAGTTTGGTGTTAGTGTGTGCTTTACAGAAAAAAAAGAAAAAAAATGATCGGCTGAAACTGTCTCTGAGGGGTGACTAGTTTGGTGACTTTTCATGCTTTTCTGTTGTCAGGTGTGATTCTGAAAAGGTCAAATCGTGTCTTGACCATCCAACGGGTGAAAAAAGAGGACAGTGGTCTTTACATATGTACAGCCTGTAACCAGCAGGGCTGTGACTATGACGAGGCTCATATCACTGTGGATGGTGAGTCTGTAGACAAAGCTCACTGCTTGATTTATTTTATTTTTTATTTTTGAAGATAGGGCAGTTAGGACAGTTTTTCTGTAAAGTTGTGCAGAATTTTATTATAATTTATTTTTGGAATATTACAATTGCCCCCTATGTCTAACACTAATAGATCTTGATATTATGATTTAGTCTTTATCTTTGCAAATATATTAATGGTAGTAATTTTTGCCACATATACACTACTGTTCAAAAGTTGGGGGTCGTAAGATTTTTGAAATGTTTTTGCAAGAAGTCTCTCATGCTCACTAAACATCCATTCACACAGAACGGTTTGCACTCCACTGCGCTGGCTGCTTTTCCATTGTTTTTCTATGTAAACATGTAGACGCGTTTGACCATTGCGCTCGTGTCTTGTGCCCCCCCCTTAGGATTCCTTGATGAATTTAAAGGTAAAAAAAAAGCATTTATTTGAAGTTGAAATCTTTTGTAACGTTATAAATGTTACTTTTGATCAATTTAATGCATCATTGATAAAAAAAAGTATTAATTTCTTAAAATATATACACTACCGTTCAAAAGTTTGGGGTCAGTGAGAATTTTATTTTTATTTTTTGGAGGAAAGAAATCAATACTTTTATTTATCAAGGACAGTAAAGACATTTATAATGTTACAAAAGATTCTATTTCAAACAAATGCTGTTCTTTTGAACTTCCTATTCATCAAAGAATCCTAAAAAAAAACACACAAAAAAACTGTACAACTGACAGACCAACAACTGTTTCAACATTGATAATAATAATAAATGTTTCTTGAGCATCAAATCCTCATATTATACTGATTTGTGAAGGATCATTTGACACTGAAGACACTGACACTGGTGATGCTGAAAATTCAGCTTTGATCACAGGAATAAATTCCACTTTACTATATATTCACACAGAAAACAGCTGATTTACACTGGAATAATATTTAATACTATAACTGATTTTTGTTGTATTTTTAATCAAATAAGCGCAGCCATGGTTAGCAGAAGAGAATTCTTTTAAAAGTATTTAAAATCGTACCGACCCCAAACTTTTGAACGGTAGTGTATATTATTGACCCCAAACCTTTAAATGGTAGTGTAAATGTTTCCTATACCAAAACATGGCAGGTATAGATTCATAGTAGTTTGTCAGTTTTGAAGGGAGGTGTGAAGGTAGCCAAACTATTAAAGATCCCATTTTAAGAGGAGACGTTCAGAGACGTCTCATGGGTGTGAGGCAAGCTCGGTCTCCCACTGACTTTTATCCTCTTTCAGATTTTGTTTTAATCAAGACCCTGTGGCAAAAATAGCTCTCTTTTTAGTCCACCAGAAAGGGGGCTCTGTTAGTGTACATCCTTTAGGGAGTGCTAAAAGAAAACAAAGCAAAATCCCAGAACACAAAAGAGAGACGCCTCTCTCTCTCTCTCTCTCTCTCTCTCTCTCTCTCTCTCTCTCTCTCTCTCTCTCTCTCTCTCTCTCTCTCTCTCTCTCTCTCTCTCTCTCTCTCTCTCTCTCTCTCTCTCTCTCTCTCTCTCTCTCTCTCTCTCTCTCTCTCTCTCTCTCTCTCTCTCTCTCTCTCTCTCTCTCTCTCTCATTCATGTACATATATATATATATATAGTAGTCAACATTTAAAGTGGATCAAAACATTTCATCAAAGTTGTACATGAATTTTTAACAATATCCGTTCTTGTCTTAAGACAACTTTAAACTTTTTGATCCACTTCAAATGTTGACTACTGTGTATATACAGTATATACTCTTCAACACACACATCTATCTTAGTGACTTGCATCGTGGTATGGTTCCGTCTCTTGCCTCACACACATAAAGGACAGAGAGCAGAGAGGCACACAAATAACAGAGACATACTCCATGTGTACGTGACTCTCTCGCCATCACTCTTTCTCATTGTCACTGCAAATGCGACTGTCAGGCGGCAGTCATATTCACTAACAGCTCTGTTCCCACAAAGCAAAAGAAAGAGTAAAGGAGAGGAAGGGAGAGAGAAATAAACTAAATAATCTACATGTAATGATTGATTGACCAGTTGCATGTTCTAGTATAGAAAAGAACATGATACTTTTTATCTAATGTCAATCGGTTCCTACTGGTGGACTTTGGCTTCATGTTGCTGTTCGCTCTTCAGGCTTATTTTGATTGGATGTAATATCGGGTCAGCAAACAATTCACATTCTTTGCTCCTCGAGCCATCATACACGCCCAACAGCATACAAATATTTCCTGTAAACTAGGTTTGTCAATTCCAGCCTTCCTTTGCTATTAATATAAAACTAAGATAGATTTTGGAGAGGAACTGGAAAATCTATCTATCTATCTATCTATCTATCTATCTATCTATCTATCTATCTATCTATCTATCTATCTATCTATCTATCTATCTATCTATCTATCTATCTATCTATCTATCTGTCTGTCTGTCTGTCTGTCTGTCTGTCTGTCTGTCTGTCTGTCTGTCTGTCTGTCTGTCTGTCTGTCTGTATTATTCTATTGAGTTTGTTTTGGTTAAATCTTTTTTAAAATGTCTTTGTATGTCATCTGTGTTTGTGATTTCTTATTGATCCCACAGGTGCAGAGGAAAAGATGAACGTGGAATTGATCATGCCTATTGGTGCCGTTGTCATCGCCATGTTCCTCTGGCTCCTCATCGTCTTTGTCATCCGCAACAGGAAGCGGGTAACATTCCATCTATTTCCCTTTTCCTTGTTTTCTCCCGCTCTCTCATTTACACGCACAGGCGCGCTCTCTGCTCTCCTCTGACTGATCAGATCTGACTACCCTGACTTGGCTTACGCCATCTCTATTGTATGCTCATCCCACATTCTGCTGCGATGCATCACGTACACCAGCCAGCCATTGGCCCCAGTGCCCACTGTACCCCAGCCTTAATTCTGCTTCTGAGTATGATAGTGGCTTCCAGTAACTCATTAGTGGGTGTCTTTATAATGAGGGCTTGATTCTAGGAGAGGTAGAGGTCTCATTCAGACAAGCTCTTTCTCCCCTTTTGACCTCATTCCATTTTGTCTTCCATCCTTCCCTCTTCCCTCTCTCACAGCCTAATGATGGAGATCTGAAAACTGGCTACCTGTCAATCATTCTGGACGATGATTTGCCAATGGATGAGCACTGTGAGAGACTGACCTATGATGCAATCAAGTGGGAATTCCCACGTGATAGACTGAAGCTAGGTGAGACATGGCTAAATCTGAGAAATAAAACAATAAAAAACAAGTAATATCAAATTAAATTGGCTAAGATCAATCCTGAAAGGCTTTTCAGTAGTTTTGATTAAAAAACATGGTTTTCATGGTGCAGTTAGAAATACTCTGTCTTAATTTAATGAGCTTACTTTTGAAGTTCATTACATTACCATAAAAAGCAAGATTCATACTACTGGACCAATGTATGCCGTATGCAACAGACTTCAGTGATATGTTTTTATTTATCTATATTTACAGTATCTGTATATCCATGCATTTGATTTTTTTTTATATATGCATTATGTAGCATAACAGGGTGTTCAAATGTTGTGGAACAATTTATGCATGTTTTTTTTTCTTTGGTATGCGGAGGGGAGCATATCATAACTTGCCTTGAATCACTATCCGATTTTATGCTTTCAACATCTTTAAAGACCCAATTTATCCTCTGCAAACAGCTAAAATCTTTGTACAAAAATGTTACTATACATATATAGATGTAAGTGTTCACAAATGTATAATACCATATTTTTCAGGAGAGCCGCTGGGCAGAGGGGCATTTGGTCAAGTTGTGGAGGCGATCGCATATGGTATTGAGAAGGCCACCACCTGTACTACAGTAGCAGTGAAGATGCTCAAGGGTATGAGGCATCTGTTGACTGGCCTTAAACTGGCTTCAAATATCTTCCATTTAACACAACTGACTGCAGTTTTCTCAATCTCCGACAGAGGGCGCTACTTCCAGCGAGTACCGCGCTCTGATGTCTGAGCTGAAGATCCTCATCCATATTGGTCACCATCTCAATGTGGTCAACCTTCTAGGAGCCTGCACTAAACAAGGGGGTGAGTTTCCCTTTTAAAATCCTCAGATATTGACAGAAATGACTTCTGTAATCTTTCCTTTCCTGTGAAGTGTGTTGCAGGCATGTTCTGTTCAGGAAGTGTGTAAATGTGTATGGGTAACAAAATGTACAGCCATAGTAAGAAATGTGTCAAAAACGCCACAAAGTGGTTGTGAATTGTTGAGAAGAACACAGTGTGTCCACATTAAAGGCCTCTTCTTCCTCTCTCTCTTTCTTACACCTACAGGGCCCTTGATGGTGATTGTAGAATACTGTAAAAACGGAAACCTCTCCAGCTATTTAAAAAGCAAACGAGGAGAGTACAGTCCCTACAAGGTAAATTCCTTCATAACTTAGTGTAACTTGTAAAATCAAGCTGTGATGTGGTTTCAAAGATTCCAGTTGTTCCTTTTAACAACGTTCTGGTGTCTTCTGATGTGATCAGATTGATTCAAGAGCCTTGTGAAAGCCATGAGCGTGCTTGGCCTGGCCTTTAAATGTTGTTCAATGTTAAAGGTGTTATGAAGGGGTTGCTACTTTACCTTGACAACCTATTAATTTACCAACTACCGTGACAGCAGCGGAAAACTGATCCTCACATGTATTGTTTCCTCAGAAGCGGATGCCACGGATGCCGTGCAGGAGGGAGGTAGAGCCGGAAGAGGATTTACATGAGGGAGATCTGGGTCTGGGAACCAGCACTCGACTGGACATCTGCACGGGCACCGCAGTGTGCTCCAAGATGGGAGAACAGACCTCCACGACCCAGCTGCAGGATGAACAAGGTACAGTATATTAGTTTGTTGGATTGGACTGTACTGTCTTCAGACTCGCAGCTACTAAAGCCAAAGATGACGCATTTAACAAAGTTATGGAAACTATATAAAATGTTTTAATTAGTATTGTCATTCAAGTGTTACCACATGAACCATTTTTTAGGTTACATTACAAAACCTCATTTATTGTACTGTATGTGAGATGAAATACATTTGGGTGTGACATGCTGTATTTCCTCTAAAACGTATTTAACAGCAAAATAAAAAAAGATAAGATAAATAAACAGCGTAATTATTTTATTATTGATAGATAGTTATTCTAATTATTAAGTAGCTTTGATGAGCTAGTTACTACGAAACTACATGGGCATTTTTACTTTTAATTTAATTTGTCACACTGCAAATTAAGAAAGAAATCCAAAAATAAGTAAATAAATAAACAGCATCATTATTTTTTATTATTAATAAGTATTTGTATTAAGTATTAATTAGTATTGTACTCTTAAAAATGAATTTGTCACACTGCAAATTAATAAAGATATTAAAAATAAGATTGACACCAAAATAAATAAAAAAAACAGCAGAATTATGTATTAATAATCTTTTTTTCTAATTATTACTTAGCTTTATTGAGCTCATACTGGCCCTCATTTCTCAAAAGTGAGTACACCAAATTTCCAGCGTACACCTGGCATACACCCAAAACCACGGTGACTTTGAGACATATCAATATGGACGTTGGCGTACGGCACGCTCAAATCCTACGCCAGCTCAGGAGGTGGTGTACGCACGTTTTGAGTTAGTGCGGAAATGCGCAGAAAAACAATTCCTAACACCACAAAACGCACTGACAAACTAAAGATATGATATATTATGACCCACAGTAAAAAAAAAAAAAAAACATAGTAATTATAAACTTCAGTGTTTATTTTTGTGCAACATGGACTTCAATGTTTAATTTGTGTGACTTAACCAAAGCATTTGATTTGTAGCCATATGTATTCCTTCAGTTGGGAGCCTGTGCGCTTTACCCTGACGTTTCATGGTTAGGCCCGGCAGGTGCGCACGGACTGGGTTCGGTAATGAAAGGCTTTCAATGACCAAAAAATAATTCAGACTGACAAAATAATAAAAAAATACATTCTTCTTCTTTTAAATAATAATAATAATACAAATAATAATAACGACGTTCTTCTTCTAAATAACAATAAGCGTCATTAATAATAAAAATCATAATAATAATAAGAATATTACAAATTGTCATGCAATTATTAATGTGAATGAATGGTACTCCACATCACATCATCATCATCACTATTGTACACCCCAATACATGTGACGTGATTCGAAACTGAATGCTCATTGTTTCAAAAGATGTGCTGTAAAATAATGCATTGTGATAGGTCATTTCGGCTCCACGTCAGAGAAGTTTCTCTTCTGTGCCGTCTTCCGTGTGTCCATGGCGTAAAATGAGGGCGTGGGGGAAGCGGAGACTTGAATATATAGGGGCGTGTTATTCTAATGGCGATCGTTTTCAGCCGCGGGATTTATCAAGGGCAGGTATTGCGTACACCTGGATTTCAAAGGTACGCACAGCTTCATAAATCAGGCGGTGAGAGGAGTGTAAGCATAATCTTACGCCGCCCGTTTCTACGCAAGAATGATAAATGAGGGCCAATGAGCTCATTATTTGAGAAACTGTATGGAATATTTGTACTCCCAGAATCAAGCCCTCATTTACAATGTTAAATTAAATTAAATTAATGAACACAAAAAGATGCTTACAGGACCTATGATGTATTTATATTATGTGTCATGTATAGAGAGTTCAGACTGGGATCACCTGACAATGGAGGATATCATCAGCTATAGCTTTCAGGTGGCCAAAGGCATGGAGTTCCTAGCCTCTCGAAAGGTAAAACTGAAACACACAACCAGGGTCCACTTGTGTGTGTATACAGTACATTGATCTTGAGCATTTACTAATCATTGAAGATAACTGCTTGAGTCATACTGCTACTTTGTTTTTGTAGTGTATCCACCGGGACTTGGCAGCCAGAAACATCCTACTTTCTGAGAACAACGTGGTGAAGATATGTGACTTTGGGCTGGCCAGAGACGTCTATAAAGACCCCGATTACGTCCGTAAAGGAGATGTGAGAACTCTTAGTCCACAAATAGACAACTTCATTTCATTTGTTTCTCGAAATAGACCAGGGGTTTTCAAAGACAAAAAACAGTATGCCTCCTTTCTAATGCAACATACACGATCCGCCCCAATTAAACTGCATAGTATGACCTGCACTGTATGAATTACATATACACCGATTTTTAATAAAGCTACGAAAGATATTCAATTAAGAGCAGTGAATGATTTCCTTTGTCTATTGTTGACTGATTAACATTAAGGACAGGCCTATATGAGGCTGCTGTCACTTTAAGACCTTATGCATGGATCCAATTTAGTGATAATTTCGCCCAACTGTTTACTTCACTTTAAACTGACTGTGTTTATGTGAAATCTCACCAAGACGGGCATTTTGACACGTAAATGTGTGTATTTGACCGTTCAAGCGCAAAAAGCCGCGGAAGTCAACTGAATTTAGCACTCATGTGCGATGTGCGCCACGGAAAGCCGCCTGTCAGTACCAAATTCGGTTCTCAGTCGTGGTTTATTGTGCTTTTAAAAAATCATCATTAAGCACGTCCCACTCCTCATTCATCCATGTTTCTTTGCTGCTCTATCGCATTTAAGCAGTCCTGCGCTACACGGATATATTTACATACAGATAAACTATTGATTGACATCGTCATATCATCCAACCCTACTCCGCGCCTCCCCTGACATGGTCTTGGCGCGCCCCACACTTTGAAAACCCCTGCAATAGACCAACTTACACTTGAGCATTTCCTCTCTATCATCGCAGGCTCGTCTTCCTCTCAAGTGGATGGCTCCTGAAACCATTTTTGACCGTGTGTACACCACGCAGAGTGATGTTTGGTCTTTTGGCGTGTTGCTCTGGGAGATCTTCTCACTTGGTAACACCATAGTGATATTAACATAATATTATCACAGCGCTTACTAGACAACATTCAGTATACCTACTCTAGTTAGCTGACATGTTCTGATGGCCCGTCTCCTTTGGTGCAGGTGCATCTCCATACCCAGGTGTGTGCATTGATGAGTCTTTCTGTAGGCGACTAAAGGAGGGAACCAGAATGAGAGCTCCAGATTACGCCACACCTGAGATGTAAATATACTTCACAGTTTTAGTATTGATGTAAAATTGAAGATCTTTGAAAATCATCTTTGATGACTGTGGATCTAGATTTTTGTAGTTCTGATGATGCCAGTCATAGTGTTTCCAACAGAAAATGGGCGCAAGTAGTACCTCAAATTTTGTTTAATTCTTTTGGAGATACAGAAGTACTTACTTGTTTTTTGTGGAAACATGTCAAATTCTTCCAGATACCAGACCATGCTGGACTGTTGGCTTGATCGACCTAAAGACAGACCAACCTTTACTCAGTTAGTTGAGCATCTGGGTAATCTGTTACAGGCTAGCGCTCAACAGGTGAGACTTGACTCCAAGTGTTGTTGTTTTTTTGTCTAAGTTTTTTTTTTTTAGTAATCAGTAATTTAAGTATTTCGTCAAAGCAAAAAAATGAATAAAGTTATACAGTATATAGTCAGTATTTTTGTCTTGTTTTCCAGTAAAAATATCTAAACATCCTTAAACCAAGATACATTTACATGCGAAGTGCATTTAGATACGATTTTAATACTTTTTTTTTTTTTTTTTTTATAAATTGAATTGTTATTTTCCTTACTCCGTTGGTAAAGCCTCAGCCTCAGGCAGTGTTATTTTAGTATTATTTATATACTATTATAGTATTCATCAATATTTTGAATTGGCTTTTATTTTATTTTAGTTTAAGTAATTTTGTTTTGTACTTTTATCACTTTTTAGTGATTTTTAATTAGATTTTACCCTTAAATTATAATTGTAACAAGGTTCGTTGTTAAGGGAAGAAGGAGGCGGGAACCGGCGAACATTCCAAAGATTTTAATAAAATAAATAAACAAATACAAAAACGAAAGTAAAGACGGCAGTCCCTCACGGCCCTCGGCCTCATCCTGCTCACCATAATCATTTTTTTAGTTTTAGTACTTTTTTAATACCCGAACTTACACTTATTTCAGTTAGTTGCCACAGTTAGTAGCAACATTTATTAATTTTTCTTTTATATATTTAATTTAGTTTTTTTTTTTTTTTTTTGCATTAATGCATTTTTATTATGATAGGACAGTAAGTAGACAGGAAGCAAAGTGGGAGAGAAAGTGGGGGACGGGATCGGGAAAGGTCCGCGAGCCGGGGCTCGAACTCAGGTCGCCCGAAGTGCCACGGTGCTGTATGTCGGCGCCGTATGTTATCATAATATCTTATGCAGTTTCTCACATGTTTCAAGGATGATTCGATATTTTTACTGGGAAACAAGACAAAAAGATGTTTAAGAAAGTGACTTTTCCACATAATGGAACGTGATTCCATTTTTCATGTGACAATTTGAATTATTTTACTATTTATAATTATTTGAATTATTATTTGTTGCCTGTGTTTAAGGATGGAAAGGACTACATCCCACTGACAAATGGAGAGATGGAAGAAGAATCATCTAAACGAACACGCTATGCAGGCAGCACAGAGGCGCAGCTCCACTATGACAATGCTCCAGCTCTGGGGTTAGTTACAGTAACTATTCTGTCTGGTGTTTTTGAGCTGTTGTTGGCATCATAGAACTAAAATTAATCAGATTTAATTATATCCTTTGAAGCACTCATACTTATCCCTACCCGAGTTGACTTTTGTTGTGTCCACACTACATTCAAGAACTGACATTTGAGGATATAACTTGCTTAACCTCTCCTTTGACAAACTAATACAACAGTGGTCCCACCCATGCCTCTTCTGACAGGTTCCCACATCAGATGGACAGTTGTGGTGTGCCAATAAGTATGATGACTTTTGTGGACATTCCCCTGGAGCACACTGCTGTAATGGTAAATAAACTCTGTGTACTACTAGCATCTGGTCATGATCCATAACAAACTTTGCTGCTACAAAATAAAAACAATAAAAAAATTATATATATATATATATATATATAACAATGCAGTTTGATCGCAATTAATTGCACACTTATCGTAAAATGAAGCATACACCATTTGTCTTGTTTAATACGCTCATTTTTGTCATAATTTGCTATATCCAGCTAAATAAACCATCAGATTGAAGGGTGATTCTCACAACAATGTATTTTCTGCAAGCTTTTTTCAAGGTAAATTTAGGTGTCCTTAAAAATTCATAAATTTATGCACACCGAAGCACCCATGAAAAAAAAAAATTAAACTTAAAACTTATATATACAACTTCAGAATTCACACAGTATATAGTATGTATACAGTGCAATAGCAAATATAAACAAACTGCCTTGACCTGACTGTATAAACACACTACAGTTACAAGGATCCATTCAGAATGACTTAACACATGACAAATCAAAACATGATCCGAAATGTGTGTGGAAACAATGCATTGAATGTAGTGAAATGTGTCTGTGGATCAATATAACATTATTTTATAATAATATAAAATATATACATATATTTTTAATGTTTTAAATATTTTTATTTCAGCAAAACCATTTAGATGTTACTATATGAAACACAATATAGGTTATCTGCTAAATAATTTACAGAGTGTTCTTGCATCCCAAAAATCCCATTTATGAAAACTAAATTGTATGATCCTATGATGTATGATCCCCTAACCCTAAATTCTATGATCCTCCATTCCTACAGAATGGTCACATGGACTGTGGAGTGGGCTTATCACGTGAGCAGATGAAAGCTTTGGAAAGGCAGGTGCAAAGACCACCCAATTTCAGGTGACAATTCATCCTGATCTCAGTACAGTCACAAATGAGGACGATTCCACAGTCATATAAACATGGTCATGGTTTTATCCACAGCCCACTACTGCGGTGCAAGAGTAAGGAGTCTTTAGCTTCTGAATCGTCCAATCAGACCAGTGGTTATCAGTCTGGTTACCACTCTGATGATGCCGAAGCCCCGATATACGCCAACGAAGAGATGATCCTGAAGAGAGACATTCGGAAGAAACCTCCACTGCCCAAGAGAAACGACAAGTTCAGTGCAGAGGTCCGTTATAGTGCACCTCCAGTTTAACATCTATAAAGCTTCAAACAGTCTTCCTTATTATGTTATTCAAAAGTTCAGCCAAGAATGAAAATTCAGACATAATTTTCTCACCCTCATAAGAATTTCTTTCTTTAGTTATTTATAACAGAATGTGCAAGCTGCACTTTTCCATAAAATGAAATGAATGGTGACCACTACAAAATATTCATGAAGTAACAACTTAAAGGGAAGGTTCACCCAAAAATGTCAATTCTGTCATTAATTACTCAACCTCATGTTGTTCCAAACCCAAAAAGACTTTTGTTCATCTTCGGAACAAAAAGATCTTTTTGATGAAATCTGAGAGCTTTCTGTTCCTCCGTTGACAGTCCACGCAACTACCACTTTGACGCTTTAAAAAGTTCACAAAGAGATTGTAAAACTAATCTATATGAATCAAGTTTAGTCCAAATGTTCTGAAGAGACACGATCATTTTATATGATGAACAGATTTAACTTAGGTTTTTATTCACATACAAACATTGATCAGCGAACACAAACAGAAGCTCAACCGAACCTGCTTGATGCGCAAGAACAAGCCTCATTGGTTCTTGCGGAAGCTCAAACATGCTGTGTAACACTTGAGAATGAACTCATTGGTGCTCACACATCAAGTGAACATGCTTGAGCTTCCGTTTACCACAACTGATGTGTGCGTGGATGAATGTTTATATGTGAATAAAAGCCTAAATTCAATCTGTTCATCATATAAAGCAATTGTGTCTCTTCAGAAAATTTGGACTAAACCTCTCAATTCCTGTGGATTACTTTTACGATCTCTTTATGAATTTTTTAAAGCGTCAAAGTTGTAGTTGCGTAGCTGCCAATAGAGGGTAAGAAAGCCAGCTTTGGGTGAACTAACGCTTTAAAATTCAGTTGGTTCCACACATAAAACAATTGAATGGCTTCAGAAGATAATACGTATGGGCTAAAAAAAAGAAGCATTTTTATGATGCTTTTGAGATGTTTTTGTTCATTTCACTTTCATAGTCTGGTAGAATGCAACTTTTTTGTTTCTTGGAAAAACACAAAATGAAGGTGAGTAAATGATGACTTTTTTTTTTTTTGGTGAACAATCTTTACATTCTCATGCGACAGAGCAGCCAATTTACCTACCTAAAATGAGTAGCAACCTTTTCATTTTTTTTATCCCATATTAGGCATTTCCTGCCATTACCCATAATGACTCTGGTATGGCAAAGCACATGACTGCATTATCCAAAAACAACAAACCGTTTAATTGGCCCTCGAGCTTCAGTTGAGGTGCACCGTTATTGCTTCTTTCGTAATTGTATGGCTAAAAGAATCACTGACTCTGTTAAATGTTTCTTTTATCGTACTCACAATAATGAAATAAATGTAATATATTGTGTTGGAACAGACTGTTTTGGAGCAGATAAGATGTATGTTTTAGGTTTATTCTTCTAAATGTCAGGGGAGTTTGGCGAGCGAGAAAGTCTTAGCAATACAATCATGTTTACACAGACTGCGGAGCAAGAGTGGTCTCTCAGTGTGTTCCCGAGCAGAGGCATGCCCTCTCCCTACCGCACAGGAAATAGCAACTGGAATGTTAGACAATTGAGTGTGTGAATGTTTTCCATTTTTTGTCTTCATCTTTTGCATTGTCTTAAAACGAATCGTGACCAGACTTTTTCTCCCCCAAGCAACAAACAGTCTGTCTGATTTTTTCAGCTTTTTTTCTTGGTTGGCCTTTAGATTGTACAGTTTATAATGAGGGCCTTCTTTGTCTTTGTAAGAAAAATGTCAGTATTTTGCCATTATGATTACTATTTAGTTACACGTCCGTTAATGTTATTAGTTTTTTTTTTAAATAAACACTCTTGCCAGTTAAAATCAACAATTATGTGTGCTTCGATGTTTTGTGACCCCTCTCTTCCTCTATCTGTTTCTCAGTGACCCTGACGAGACAATGCATTCATATCTCCATTTATTTTCCACGCTATTTGTGTGTCTGAGAGAAGGGGACAATGCATGCTAGCCTGTGAACTGGACTTTTTTCCACATGCGTGTACATTGTGGTTTTCATGCATTTTTTTTTTTTTTTTTGTGTATGTGAACAATCGGGCCTGAGGAAACAATGCTCATGCAGCCTTGGGTGTTTTCCTAGGAGTGCTGGTTTCAAAATGGCTGCCCAGAATAGCATGCACAAGGCCATCAAAGCATAGTGAGCTCTACGCGCTGGGCCTGACTTTTCAGCCAGCTATTGTTTGTGCTCATTATTGTATTAATTATAATGAAAAACTAGTGGAAATAATGGAAATAGTGGAAACAAACTTATGAATATAAGTGAAAATGCTTCTTTAAAAGATCAAATAATAATATTTAGTTGTGGAATGTTTCATGTAAAAATATTACATGAATTTGAATTTCATAACGATGATGTTATCCAGCATGATTTGAGATTATTTAAAAGAGCATCTTGAACTTCAGTGAAATCAAGAACACAGACAGTATTACTGTATGTACAAAGAATGATCAATTATCACAAATGTGAATAGTAAATAGAACAGACTATTTATGATTTCTATTTCTATTTCAATATTTCATTCCACAAACAACATTTTTAATGTGTATCCCCCCTGGTTTAAATTAAATGTTTCTGAATTTAATACCACAGTGTACATTTTGTAATGAGAATTATTTAGATGCTCAATGTCCCTAAAACATGCCTCTGTGTGAAGTTTATATCTGGTGTTTGTGTAACTGGATTGGAGGTTGTAACCCTGCTCTGATTCCCACTGTGTGAGGAAGCTGTGCTTACATTAACAACTCCTGAGAACCTCAACATCAAAGGACTAACCACAATCCCGCTGCCAAACACTGGCACACTCAAGTAGGCTACATGTGATTTTACAGTGGTTGCCCTGAACGATGCACACACGTTTGGTTTTCAAGTTTTATGGGGACTTTCCATATAGACAATGATTTTTATTCTGTACAAACTGTATATTCTGTCCCCTTACACAAACCCTGCCCCTAACCCATCACAGAAAACTTTAGCCTATGATGCATTTTCACATTTTCAAAAAACATCAACCCCCAGCCCCCGTAAGAAGCACTCCGGAACTCAATCTTATTTCCTTTGGAATGGGGGGATTTGGAAATGTCCTGCAATGATGTGCCATGACAGGAAATATCTTTAAACACAAACTCTGGCACACGTGGATATTTCTGGAAATTTCTGCACCCACACAAACACGCACACACACCACACACGATATACAAAACCAGGGGCGGTTTCTTCATTAGGGCGATTGGGCGACGCACCACCAAAGTGCGAAAGTGACTTTTTCAATCACATTCACAATCTCATTCAACCACAGAGTTACGCTAGCCGTCACTATAGTGCTATACTCCAATCAGCGTCATGTCGCGTTCTGTGGAGTACCGCCTCTTTTTGGGCGATTTCACTCTGGCTGAGAATCGCCCCGAGTGTTCCCATAGACTTCCATTCAAAGATGTTTTTTTTTTCGAACTGGAGGCACTGCAATGCATTCTCTATGGGTTCCGGGAGGGCTCGCACTAACGTGCTTACGTCATCATACGTACCCTTAACTTGTGCAGCGATTGGTGGGAGCCTACACTATTAAATATCTTTAAGATTAAGTGACAAATAATATTTAAAAACAATTTTGAATTTGAATAACAAGAAAAAATGAAACACTACTATATAATATATTTATCAAATGTGATTAAAAAATAAAAATAAAAATGAGCGAGAGCGAGAGCGAGAGAGACTGTTGGGACATCTCGCGACTCGCGAGTTGAGGCCAGCTGAACTTGAACAACGTCATGGCGAACGCAGTCATAATCGTGTCATTAAAATAAATACCAGTCAGCCCGTCGTAGTAATCAGCATACATTGAGCAGGAGCAAGTAGCAACAGGAACAACAAGATCTAGGAGGGCCTTGGGAGAAGAAGACAAGCAGAGGCTGTCTAAAGAGGTATTGCTGAACATTTTAATACTCGAGTGTTGGAAAATCTCACTTTGTTTTTACAATCAGTTTAGGAAAGGATGGTAGCAGTCTTTTTTACTCCTAGCATTGTACTTTGAAATTTGTAAATTTCCATTCGAACACCCACACAATCGTGTATGTCCAAAACTGTTACTTTTCAGGAAATAATAAAATAACTTTTCCCAAAATAATTTCCAAGATCTTTTAATGCTTTCCGTTGGTAAAATATTTGTAAAACACATTGACAGATGTAAAGGGTGACCAATAGCATTAATTTTTTTTTTTTTAAATGGGAGATAATACAATATGGATTCTGCCGGATACATTGTTGCTGTCGGGATGGAAACCTTGTATCTCTATATTTATATTATAATAAATAAATTATTTTATAACTAAAATAAATGTATTTATTTTGTCAGGTCTGCGACACAATCTTAAAGTAGTGAAGTTGCCTTTACATGCTTAAGCTGTTAATTTATCCATTGCATGGGTGGACCTTATCCTTATCAATCATCCAAACATTTGCCCCCCCCTGAGAGATTTTGCAGGAGCCGCCACTGTAAAAACACTAGAACATTTTGAGAGCTCTGACAATGGGCCTCAAAGTTGTCACCCTATAATAAAAACATAAAACAGTGTATTTAACGGAGATTAATTCAGAGGAATGGCTGCCTCTAGAAATATAGCACAGTATCTTGTATCCTCCATTACTCTCATTTCTTTGAGTTTTGAAATACACCATAAATATTACCCAAAACAAACTGAACCACCTCCTTAATATTTGTGATCCATATGATCAATTAACATGATGTTATTTTTCATATTATATTCATCAGCAGCACTTTCGCTTAAAGCTATAAATCCATGCACCCAAGTTCTGAAAAAAGGAGGAAAACGACGTTCTGCCGCCACCTGGTGGTAGCCTATATTGGGTGAGTGAAGTTGGGTGCATGACGACCTATTTTTTTACAGTCTATGGTGACGACCATAGACTGTAAAAAAAGATGGACGACGCCCCTTCGCTCTTTTCCATTGGAGAGAACTGAAGCCGCCAGAGTCCCGATATGGCGCTGACATATTGGAACTTGAGTCTGCGCAGTAGCGTTTTCGGGACCAGTCATGCGCAGTCGTGAGCAGGAAGTAAAGCCGCGAAATCAAGGCCCCGCCCTCACGCTCGTTGAATCAATCGCAAGCACACGCCCTGCACTTTTCTTAAGTGGCCTTGTCTGCTCCGTTCCTCTCCAATGATGTCTGCTGATTGCAGTACCTCGTTAAAATAAGGTAAATACAACTACTAACCACATAGTCAACATTATGAAAAAAAGTCCGTTGGTGCTTCAGTGACTACTTCACACGGAGAACCTGTCAATCACGGTTCCGGGCAAGATGGCGGAGTGAGTGCACGTACGCGACGGAGCTGTTCACCCTCAGACATGCATCATAGTGAATAATAGTTACTTTAAATGTGTTCTTGGAGATACATTAATACTGAGTTGAGTGCACCGTGTCTATTTATTGTTAAGCTTGTATCGTGTAATATTCTCGCCTCTTAACGACACACGTGAGGAAAAACCTCGGCTAACGGCTTACCTAGCTAGCAAACCACTACTACAGCAGCATGCAGGTACCGATGGACAATCCGCTTGTGAACAACCTACACGACTACTGCATGGCGGATGCTCCGGTGATCTCCCTCGGGGACCCAGATTTCCCCCCTCTCCCCATAACTCCTTCCTCAACTCCCTCCAAACCTCCTGCACCAAAAAAAATGAAGCCGCAGCGCTCCGTGGATCTAGACAGTGAGGATATTGTGCAGAGAATCTCAGTCATCTTCAACACGAGAATCGACTCTCTGGAAA